ATGGTTAGAAGCGATTGTATTAAGAAATTTCCATATTTTTTGCTATTTATGTAGGCGTTCCCTGAGACCTGAAAATTATTTTAGGAGTTTCTCCAGGGTAAAAGGATTGGGAAAGGCTATCCTATAGTAGTGTTTAAATTAGGAGAGAAAAACATTTTTCCTTCCTACCACAAAGTACAAAATTTCACTCCCATAGGATACTGGGTTCATTTTGTTTCTATCCCAATACAGCCTCCATAGCAAGATTTTCCAAGTAAAATAAAGGCTGCTTGTCCAAGGAATATAAAACAGTAGTTCAGTTAATCTACATTAAATCATGCTTATTCATTTAGCTCAGGCACCTGTATAATAGTTTACTTCATATTGCCCACTTTTGTACTTTTATAAACAGCTTCTCCTAAACTAGAGATGTACAACTTTGATTGGCAAGAAGGTCACATCATCATTATTATCTATATACTACTAACGTTCTTGGTCTGTTTATTGTTTTTAGTCTTCAATTGGGTGAAACGATGCATCATAGAGCAACAATTTTTGAATCAATGTACCTTAAATGAGCTAGCTTTCAGAAAGTATCCAAAATCTGGGACCCATGACTCATATAGGATTGAAATTTGGCAATGCTTGACTGCTGCTGTGCAGCTGTAGTCATGTGATTGTCATTTCCAATGCTCCCTGCCAGCTTCCTAGAAGAATAGTCAATGGGGAAGCCAGCAGGAAGCCAAATGTTGCTCCCGGTGCCACTACTTTTTTGGCCCATGATAATTCAGTTTCTCTGGTTAGGTGAGGAAATATCTTTGAAACAATGACCCAATGGGTTGTCTAGTAATATTATTATTATTCAGATGTATTATAGCCACTCATTCTACAAGACTTTGGGCAGCTTACAACATATCAAATAATGTATACAATTTAAACAATAACAAAATTAACTATCCAAACAAGAAAACAGTTACAGCAATTTAAAAAAAAAACACAGCAGAGGGTCCACTCCAACAAGGCCTGAGAAGAGAGCCAGGGCTTAAGGGCTTTCTGGAACCCCAGGAGAGTAGGAGCCCCCCTCCAGCTGTTATTCCAGATAGCAGGGGCTGAAGGTAAATGTCCCTGACCTCACAAGATATCAAAGTTTAATTGAGAAGACTTGGAGTGTACCCATCCTACCTGAACGTATTGGATGGGCAGAAACAACTGGAGATAGGTAGAGATTTTGTAGGGTCGCATTACCAGCTATGCAGGGCCATATGCACTCCATGAGCTGTGGGTTGGACATGCCCAATTTAGAGTATTTTATTCATTTCATTGGACACTACAGAACTGAACTCAGTCCAGCTAATCTCACAAGACTATATCCTGGGCTCAAACTCTAAGCAAATCCAAGCATGTCAATATCACATACCCAATGTATAGAAGGACGTGATTTAAGAACCAAATGGTAACTTTAAGAATCAGCAAGTGTAACACACACACACATACACACACTCCATTGAAGCATCTGTTTTTAATAGAATGTCTTTCAATGTTTGTTTTTTTTCTCATAATCTTTCTATATTTTTGGTTATACAGATATTAGAGACCACAAAGAATGCAACTATAGGGTTCATATTTGTAGTTTACTGTGCCAAGCCATTTCTTATTGGTGCAATTTGCTGACTCTTATAAAATGAATTCACTTTGGTTTGTGCTCCCTGTATAGACTGCAACATCTTCTCTCAATCCCTCTCTGAGAGAGAGATGGGAGGTTCAAAAATGTAAAAAATAACACCTTTTTTTGAAAAAAGGAAAATATTGCTTTTCTTGTACATTAGAAGAGTATTTCTTTATAATTCACAATCGTTTCATGACAATTTACCATGTTGATTGGAATGTGATTACAAGTATGTGATATAATTTTTAACATGAATATTACAATTTTTCCATTGCAATAATTTGGCAAAAAGAGATATACCAGTATAATATCAACACTGGAAGAGATCAAAATACATGTCTCTCACCCCCCCCCTGCAAATATCAGTCTGTTTGGCTTCATAACATTATTTTGGATAATCGTCAAGTTTAGTAAATAGTGCCGTTTTACAAAGAGCTGTCTGTGCCTGACTAGCTTTCAGCAAGGAATCATATTCTATACTAATTTATGTATATATACGTTGAAGAAGAAATATTGAGTTAGTTGTTAAACCTGTATATTATTCACTGGCTTCTGATTCTTCATTATCTGTTGACATCATTGCTGGGATTATCTGTCAATAATTTCTCCGAGCTTTTGGAAGGTCATGACTGATCATTAATGATGGTATCGTGTCTTCTCTCTGCCTTTTCTTCTTTCCCTTCAGTTTTTCCAGACATCAAGGTCTCCAGTGACTCTTGAATTCACATTATGTGCTCAAAATATCTAAGCATTGTCTGCTAATATAATATTAGAGTTTTTTTTAATGTTGAGCAGCAAATCAACTTTTACATTCTCTTTTTTCATCTTCAAGAAAACAGTTTATAATCTTCCTTGTCTCCAGCAGTTAAAATTAACATAGATGAAATAGCTGGTGTTTGTTCTGGCAATTCTAATTACAGTTCCTAATTCTAGACCAGCATTTCTCATATGACAATTTGCATATAAATTAGATAAATAAGATGACAGTACACAACCTTGGCAAATTCCTTTCCTAATTTTGAACCATTTAGAGTTGTATATTTTGTTCTAACTAGTATTTCTGGTCAACATACAAATTCTTCACGAGGCAAGTAAGCTTGCCCAGTACAACCTTGTTTTGTTACCAATTTGTTGTGGTATAGTCATATGTCTTTTTTGGAACTCCCTTGCCTTTTCCATTATCCATCAGAGGTTCATAGTGTGATTTTGACTGCTTCTGCCTCTTCTGAATCCAGATTCCACATGGGGCAGTAAATTTATTTAATTTATTTATGTTGAACTCTGCATTGAAAAATATTGAACACTAACATATACAGATTTGGTATTTTGAACATTCTTTAGTATTGTTCCTTAAACACCACCTCTATTTTCAATGGGCAAATGCTATGATGTAAAAATATCATACAGTCTTAATCACTATAATCACAATTTATCAGGATAACAATGAAGAGAATGGTAATTATGACACAAGGATACCAAATATAAATTACGTGGGAGATGCTTTCTGAATGACCTAAAGAATTCTTGTTATCAAAAACTGCTGGCTCTCTGAGTGTATTTTATTGCTATATGATTGTTTAGATGTTTATATCCTGCCTCTCTCCCATCCTGACCAGTTAGCTCAGAATTGACATTTTGTTTTAATATTTCTTTGGGCAAGGCAGCCTGAGAGAAACTGTTGAACTGCCAGGAGCAAAGGCTGTTGTAATTCATATACCTCAGCTACTGAGCGTTCCTTTACCAATTAAATTGATGGGCACTTCCCTTACAGATAACAGATGTTGCACTGAAAACTAATTATGAGTCACCATCCTGCTCGTAAACACACTTAGTAGCAAATGTCAGACTGGAGAAACTGTTCTCTAACCTGGCCTACTTTGAGGTACTGACCGATAACATAAGCATTTGGGTAATTTAGGAAAAATGGGTTTCCATTCGCATAAGGTTCATTTTGATTACTTGTGATCCTTTTGTGAGAAATCAGCCCCCCCAGAGAAAGAAATATTTTGGGGAATATTAAAAAGGCAGAATATATTTCCACAAAGAAATAATGGAGAAGATCTTAAAAAAGAGAGGAACCAGCCCCCCAAAACCAGCCCCAGCCCCTCTCCCCCAAGCAGAAACTAGGCAGAATCCAGTTTTTAGAAATGCAGATGTGATAATCCTTTTAGAAAGGCTGGAGCCAGGAAGCTAGAAGCTGATGAGATTAGAAAGACAAAGACTCCTAAAATCCACATACCCACCCAAACTCTAAGGACAGGAAACATAACAGGATTAATCCACCAATACCAAAAGGGCACACTCAGACTCAGGTCAAAGTACATGACACAGGACATACAAAGCATCAAACAGGAACAGGAAACAATCTCAAAAGCCCCAGAAGGTATAAAAACCCATTATTCCCAGCAACATGTGGTCGGCTTTCCCAGAGTCACATTGCCGTCTGGCTCTGCTCTTTAATAAACCACAACCTTCTTTCTAAAGCAGTCTCCGTTTTGTTTATTACTGGCTTGGACTTGGATTTTTCTTTCAACACTTTAATTCAGATTTTAATGTTTCTCTAATGCCACTTTCCAGACTATATTTGGTACATGCAATTTTGTTTAACACTTGAATGTTAAGTTTGCTCATGAACACCCCCTGAGCAAATAAAGCAGTCTAACTTGCATAAGTTTTGTGATAATAACAGTACACCTAAGATGTCATTGCTTTTCAAGTTTTATACAATTCCTAAAGTACACTGAATGATGTGGCTTCAGACAAAGTGTTTTCAGTTTTAGGATGGGTGGATGGATGGATGATCAACTGATAGATAGCACTTTCCCTCCTTCAGAAAATTAGTAGATATAAAGAAGAAAGCACTAGCTAAAGAATGAAGTAATACACATTTTCCTTTTGGCTAGCAATCCATGGCCTCATCCTCAAAACTATCCAAGTACAGTATATCATTTCAATACTCAGCATTGAATGCATAAATAACCAAATAAGAATGAATCAGCCATATTCTTTTCTTTCATAATTTCTTTTATGAATCAGCCCAAAAGTCTGTTAACTACAGGCAGAAGGGGGGAGGAGGCAGAAAGCTCTTATTAGGAAGAATTGCCACTATATTTTATCTTGAAGAAAGACATGGCTTTTGAAAGTTTTCTTGCAACATAAAGAAGCATACAATTTCTAACACACAATAAACTTACACTGACTAAATCTGTGGAAAATGAACAGAACAAATGAAACTGTCTTGCAAATGCCTGCTTTTTTAAGTAAACATGTTTATTTTGGTTCTGAAAATATCTCGGGTAAAAAGAGTTCCCGTTTGTGCCTTGTCAGCCTAAGGACCAAAAGTATTGTGCTGCTTTTCATTTTCTTGAAGGGAAGATTTTATAGCTGAAGTAGCTGAATTTCTGCACACATCAGGACAGAGCTTCTCTTCAAGGAAAGGAACGATTTAAGGAGGCACATGTTTCCTTCTTAACTGCCTCTTTTCTCTGAAATAGAGCAGCACAGATTCTTTTATTTTTCTTTTCTGCAGCTGGAGTTTAAATGGCAAACAGAATCTGCTATTAGATTAGATTACCAGGTAATGTATTATATCTACATATTAAGTTGCTATTTAAAATATGGGAGATTGACTATCAATATATTTGTGTGTGTATGTTGTCTGTGTGTGCATTAGAGAACAAATGTAAAATGTATTTGCAGAGAGTATATTGTATTTAATTTCATGAAGTTTAATTGATATGAATAAAACCGATTATTTTTACATTGGCATAGAAGTAATAAAAAGCATTCACAAAATTTTATGAAAAAACGCTAATATCTTAATAATTCCTTAATAATAGTTTTTAAGGCTATGTTCATAGCTATGAATTTCAGTGGCATGGGATAATTAATAAAAAATAACATAGTGTTAAAAATCAACTTCTTTTTCCCAAATGCATTCTCTTTTTACTGTTTGGAGAGTAGTCCATTACAATATAGATTTAAAAGAGTAATTTGAGATGAAAGATTATCTGAATAAACTGATCATTTCCCCTGCCCTTTTCACAGAATAAACTGTAAACATAATGCAATTCACCTGGGAAAATAAACGATTCCTCTCTCATATCACATTTAGCGTGTGGCATATGCAATATGCAGAATATACTAGTACAGTGTAGCTCAGCCAGCTGTTACTTCCTTAATGCAGTCCAAGTGGAAGCAACCTCTTGTTCAATGTATATCCACCCATTATTGGCCCCCATCCCTCTTTCCTGAACATAAAGACTGATTCAGTAGATCCAGACGACACTTTTCATGATCCAGAAATAGCAACTGTTGTTGCCATGCTCATAGCTTTCATCAGGAGCATATGATGGGCAGCATTTGTGAGGAGCTTGTTCTCCTCATACCTTAAACAGAAGGTAAACCTTAGACCAGACATCATAAAAGACACCTACCCTATATTTTTTAGGCTTTTAAATCCAGTAAAGGAACAACAAACATGCTTTTGTGGGAAATCATAAACCAAGACAAAGTATATACAGCGTGGCTTCTTGAATTCTGCCTCCTTTACTAGCAAAGGACATAGGTAGGGTATGTACTCCTCTGTGGGATGAAATATGTTGACATTCTCTGTATTTGTATGTACATGCACTATATCTCCCAAGGACTAATCGGAGTATGTATATATGTGTAGCCTTTATGTGTATATATTTTGCTCTTCTCTCATATTGTGCATGTTTGGGTACACAGGAAGGCGTGGGATGGGCTCCATATGTGCCTGTCTGGGTCACGTGATCAAGGGGGAAGGGTGGAATAAACAACATACCAGCTGATTGCCCAATTTCCTTTCCCACAGTGACACATTAGAGGAAATTTTATGAATTTATTTTCTCTACTCCCACAGCCTGATCCAGCTTGCTGATTTTGCTCTGTTCTGAATTTGGAGAATTATCCTGCTGATAAGACAGATAGAGAGACAGAATCCTAAATTCTTTTACAGAATTACTTTTCAAACTTTCCTTGGGTTGGGAAGAATAAAAAAACCACCAACTTTTGCCCTGAATAAAACTTTTGCTAGCCATGGACAGGGTAGCACAATTAATACTGCTGTACTGTCACACAGCTTTATTTTAAAGTGATAAACAGAATATTAACAGCCTTATGTCATTTATAATTCACAACACGTGGCTTAAAATAAGAGCTGTCTTCACAAAAGAAATTTCAGTTGTTTATAAAATGAAGCCAAAGAACTTCTCTTTGTAGATGACAATGTGACATTCAGAAAGAGTAAACTTGCAACAATATTTCATTAATTAATCTCATCCTATTAAATTAAGAAAAATCAACTATCTATATCATTTAAGTATTAGTTATAGTAATTCATTTCCAGTCTTTCTGATTATTCATTAATCCAGAGTAAGAGGACTGTATTTGTCTCCAAAAGCAGGGGTCCCCAACCTTTGGACCGTGGCCCACTAGTGGGCCCTGAGGTGTTTGCAACCGGGCCATGGAACCGACAGCCAAGTGTGTGCAGGTGCATCCCCACTTGCATGAACAGTGGGCGAACATGTGCATACACACTCCATTTGTGTGAGCAGTAGGTGCGCATGCAGGCTGCTTGCGCGGGACCATCCCCTCCCCCCCCGCCCCACTGCTCTGCAAAGCTGGAAAGGTTGGGGAACTCTGTCCTAAATGCTGCAGCTATTGTAAAACCTCTGATGGATAATGGATAAAATAAAGTTAAAACAATATTCCTCCTATTTATATTACATATTAACATGAACCTTTCCAAGAAGAAAAATAGATTTTTACTATTACACCACAGTTATAATTAGTTTATAATTTATAATTAATCTTTTGCTTCTGAAAACACACAAGGCCCTTAACCACTGTGTTCACTGCCATGCTTAATAAAACAAAATGTTTTAGGGAAATTGGAAATCATACCTTTACCTATTATCAGATTATATTTCATTCCATATCTTCACAGGATATGCCCTTACATGTTTACAATAAATGTTTGTTCAGATAAATAAGTCACTGCACTAATATTTCTAATTATTGAAGTTCAGAATTGGAGCTACGCTAAACCAATTTTCTTTTTCATTAATTAATCTCACCTTGGCGAGATGGGCAGCATCCAAATTTGATAAATAAATAAATAAATAATAATAAACATGGTTCAGAGCAGCTGCCTCTCATCTAAGTCAAACTTCAGTTGGAAACTGGAGTCTTGTCTTTCCATAGACCTGCAGTGCAAAAATGAGATTCATCCCCATCGAAATATAACAGAACAACAGAATAACAGAGTTGGAAGGGACCTTGGGGGGGGGGTCTTCTAGTCCAATCCCCTTGTTGAAGCAGGAAACCTAAAACCATGTCAGACAAGTGGTTGTCTAGTCTCTCTCCAGTGTTCAAGCATCTGGAGGCAAAACATTCCACTGACGAATTGTTCTAACTCTCCTTAGTTTCAGGTGGTTCTCTCTTTGATTAGTTTCTATCTATTGCAGTGTTTCTCAACCTTGACAATTTTAAGGCATGTGGACTTCAACTCCCAGAATTCCACAGCCAGCAATGCTGGCTGTGGAATTCTGGGAGTTGAAGTCCACATGCCTTAAAATTGTCAAGGTTGAGAAACACTGATCTATTGCTTCTTGTTCTGCCTTCAGGTGCTCTGGAGAATAGGTTGACCCCCTCTTCTTTGTGGCAGCCCTTAGGTATTGGAACACTGCTATCAGATATTTGCTTCCAAAGAACATTGCTTTATTTAGTTTATATACAAAAGATTCTCACCCTTATACAATTTGTAAATAAAAACAAATAGCCATTGACCTTGCCTTAGACTCTCTACTTACTAAGGACCTTAATAAAAATAATGCATTTTTTATTTTTAATTCTAAAATCTTTAATCTTCAGGTGACCTTTTCCTTCTTTTTTATACAGCACTCCAGGGAACAATGCAAAAAACAACCCTAATCTACTACCTGTTGCTTGTTTATTTGTTCGTTGCTCTTGCCCAGAATAAACCCAATGGAATGCCCGGAAGAGCAAGGCGAAGAATAATCTATAGACGATTACGAAAGGTTCCCTTAAGAAATTACAGTTTAAATAAGCAGTCACAAATTAGACCTCCAATCTCTAGGACTCCACTAATGAGCATCCCACTTACTAATATTGATGAAGATATTCCTGGAGTATTTAACTCTCTTACCCATTTGGATGGCCAAGAATCCAATTACAATATTTTGCCAGGTAAGCAGGAAAAAGTTATTTTTTATATATATTTATAAACCATCCATTTAAAAAAATAAAACTATTCCAAATAGATGAATTCTTTGAGCTTAATCTTGGGTATCATGTATGACAGTGATGGCGAATCTTTTAGAGACCGAGTGCCCAAACTGCAGCCCAAAATCCACTTATATATCATCGGGTGCCGGGTGGGCGTGGCCCATTGGGTGGGCATGGTTGCGGTGGTAACGGCAGACTGGGTAGGACTAAAAAGTTCAATAAATCAATTCCAAATTTGCGAGATCTTTTTTTTCCCATGAGAAGTTCAAATTGATTGATTGAACCTCTTTTTTTTGCACACAGTGGCAGAGGCCTAAAGCGAAAAGGTTTTATAAGACCCAGCTGAAGGCCTAGGCTGGGGCAACAGCACGTATGCCCACAGAGAGGGCTCTGGGTGCCACCTGTAGCACGCGTGCCATAGGTTCGCCACCACGGATGTATGATATTCATTCATTGTAGAGAAATAACAGAAATCTAGTAGTGGATTTGCTGCTCTTCACCTAATGCATAGAAATAGATTTTATTATTTATTTTACGGCCTCCCAATTCATACTGTGTTGATTCACAATATGAGATCTCACTAACCTAAACATAAACAAGTGTGGGGGGGTTGGTACTCATGTCAGAAGCACTAAGGTGCTTCCAGATTGAAAGGATTAACCTGCGACATCACCATTGCTCTTTCACTCCAGCTCCTCTTGGTAGGAGCTGGAATGAAGGATGAGAGCTCAAACCTGCCCCATGGCAGCTCTTAGGTCTCAAACGCGGGCTTGCTAAAAATCCTGCCCAGCGTTCCAACCACTTGAGCCACCGTGTTCCACACGTGTGATTAAATAAAAAATACTAACATGCTTGTATAGACCAAGTAACTTTCTACTGCCAGGTCAAGTTAAAATGTACAGTTAATTAATACACATCTTTCAAACATTGTAGAATCTCATAAAAACAGGTGATTCCCCCCCCAAAAGCAGGTAACTGTACAGTATTCCAGCAACTTTTTTTTATCAGAGTACATGGAATTGGATGAATCGGTGAGTCAGCATTATTTAGACCAGTAAAGGTTTAGAACTGAACTCATCCTAGTGAGTGAAGAATTCACATAACTGACATTTGCACTCTCAATGGATGTGCAAACTGATTTTGTGACTGTATGCTCCACAGCTATCTCATGATTTTTAGTGTTCTGAAAGAACCATCCTAATAACTTATGTTGACCCACTTGCCACAAAAGTGATGGAAAGCATTTTATTTCTATCAATTTCAGCTGGTCTGGATCAAGGCATTAGAAGTAGACTGTTGTAAAAAATCACAGCTGAGTATTCAGAATGAGAGATTCAAATATTTATATTAGTGGTGTTTTCAGTTAAAAAGATCTTATATAAATCAGAATATAAATAGTGTCTATGCAGTTTTCTATGATGAAATACTTTAATCCACAATATGTTAATTCTCTCTATACTAATATGATGAATTTCAAAGCTAAGTCCAATATTACATTAGCAGATATCTCAATTGTAGCCCTTAAAGTGAAAGTTTTCTCAGTACAGCCCATTATATAAAACTCTGTTCTAGAGAGTTCGACAGCTCTCTGAAACACATCTGGGTGGTACTGGCACATGGGGAGAGAAAAATACACTTAATATTCCAATGCTATCCATTTTATCACTAAAGATATACAATTATATGAAACTCTATATCTATTTATCCAAGGTATTCAAAACTAAAATGTATGTGGTAGTAACAATTTGGTTTAGCCATGTACACTAGAAACATGGCATAGAAATATTTGGAATAAATAAGTATAATTTCATTAATATATGAACTTAAGTAAAGGTGAAATCATGGCTTCATTGTAGTAAGCATTCATACTGTAACATGCAGCAGCAATCTTCTGAACATGTTCCTATTCAACATCTAATTCTAAACATTTATATATATCAACTTTTATAATATGATTGTATTATAAATTGATAATTATTTACTATGGAAGATGTCTGTGATTTATTTCATTGTTATAATTCTAGAAATTATACAGTATCACAGTGTGTGTGTGTGTGCATATATATATATACACACACATGCACACCAAATCAATTATTCTTGTTTCAAGATGTACATAATAAATTAAATAAATGATCTCAAAGTGGAATTACATAGAAAAGGTAGGTATATAAAGCAGTTTTTTTTTTAAAAAAAGGGCAATTAGAACACAAAAAGTCCATTTTTAATAGTCTCTCTAAAGCTGTTCATTTGGGAGCATTTGTTTTCATATTAAAGAAAATATGCTGGCATACATACCATACCTTCTATATGAAGTATTTTAGATCTCCCTCAGGAATCATCTGAAGTAAAATGTAGTTTCCTCATTTTCCCCTTGATTGTTTCTTTTTATCTGGAATTTTACCCAAAGGTGGAACTAAAACCACTAAACTCAAATAAGTTGGAGCTCAGTACTGAAACTACACCATATTTCTGAAGCTGAAAGCATTGAGGTATCTGCCAAGGATTTCATCCATAAGGTATTTTTAGTCTAGTATTTAGAGTGATTGCAAGTGAAGATTGCATTGGAAAAGAGCCTACCTATCTCTAACTTTACAATCAAATGTTCAGTTAAATATGTTATATTTTATTATTATGGACATATATTATAGAAGGTGTTAAATATCTTTTACAAGATTTTTACATCTTCCTTTCCTAAATTATTATATTCCAGGTATGGTACAATAAATATTTATATTTGTAACAAGCATACTACAAGTAAGTCATCATTCAATGGATGACTGAAAGACATTGAGTTGTATTATCCCCTTTTATAAATTTATTATGAGAATTATTTGAAATGAGTTTGAATCTAGGTCTCTGCAGATCTAATCTGGAAATCTTATTGTTACATTATCAACTCTCATGTGGGATAATATTCTGTTGCATCATCATTGTCTGAAAATAATAGATTGCCACATACATCAAAATTTAGATAAAGCTGGTAGTGAAAACGTACACTTTATAATTATTTTATATATTTGTATAATAAAATCTGCTTTTGGCTTCCATTTCTTAGGAAAAGAAGGACGATGCTTTGCTAATGGAATGATTATGTTTGATAAAGCTGTGTGGTCTCCTAAACACTGCATTACATGCCTCTGTTCAAAAGGAAAGGTGTTCTGTGATGAAACCTCATGCAATCCTGTGACATGTCACAAATCTACAATACTCAAAGGGGAATGTTGCCCTGTGTGTCTGGAGAATGGTAAAGTATACTAATTTCTTATATACACTAAGCCTTATATGCATATGACACACAGGAAGTCCTTGACTAAAACATCCATTTAGCAACTGTTCGAAGTTATGATGGTAGAAAAAAAAGTTTAGTCTTTGCACTTACAACCAGTCTTTGCACTTACAACCATTAGAGCAGAAGTCCCCAACCTTTTGGGCAGTAGGGACCGGTGCCACGGAGAAAGGTTTTTCCATGGACCAGAGGGGGTATGGTTTTGAATACTGCCTGCATCCCAAGGATGGAGCTTGGCTTGTTTGTGCGGCCCACTTGTTGGCATGCTGCGGATCGGTGCCGGTCCACGGACTGGGGGTTGGGGACCCCTGCATTAGAGCATTCCCATGGTCACATGATCAAAATTTAGGCACTTGGCAACTGGCATGTATTAACAATGGTTGCAGTACTCCCAGATCACATTGTAGACATTTGCAATCTTCGCCCCTGGCTTCCAATAAAGTTAATGAGGAAAGCCAAATTTGCTTAATGACTTTGTGATTCACTTAACTGCTGTGCTGATTCATTTAACAACAAAAAACATTGTAAAACTGGGCACTGCCCCGCTTATCAATGGATATTCCAGTTGCAATTATGACTGTAAGTTGAAGAGTACCTTTCCATTTCAGAGTATATTAATTTCTTATATATAATTTGAAAATAATATGTACACATATGCCTTTAATTATAGTCAAAAGTTACAAGGAAATGAAAAGGAAAATAATTCACTGTTCCTTGAATGCAATTGAACTATTAGTTTGGAAATTGGAATTCGTGAAAATAATATTTAATCATACCAATAATAATGTTTAAAAAATCATATATATATAATCCAATCCCAAAATACCAACATACAGTACACATTCATTCATTATGAATTGCTAGCATTATGCACAAAAAGTACAATAAGTGGCAACTTTGATAGTTCCTTGCTCTTAGATTATTACATCACTCAGACAATAACTGGAAAGGCATGTTTAGGTATCACCTAAACCAGTTGTGTCCAGCCTGCATGCCGCCCTAAACAGCTAGTAATGTGGAGCTTCAAAGGAGGAGCTTTGATCACACAGTAATGCTTGCCATCTTGATATTTTGACTTCACCTTGCGATGTCTCCTCAATTATTCTAGCATTATTAAGTATAATTTTATGGCATATCAATATACTAAATCAAACCAAATCACATGTGACAGGCAAACATTTCTGAAAAGCTGATATGACAAAGCAAGCAATCACATGCACTCAGATCTGAGCCAATAAAACTTCAGCACAGGACAGGAGAAAAGAAAGTAGAGCTTACTTACTGCCAATCCCAAAGCAAATATTTCATCTTGGCGTTTTGGAAATTTTACAACAAGGCACAAAACTATACATGTATTCAGTCTAATCCAAACCTTAATTAAGGCTGAAATCAGCACAGAGCCTTGATGTTTTTAAATGTAGCTTGAAGCTCAAAATTAACTGCCCAAACAAACTAATCTTAACAATGTTGTACAAGTATCTTTATATTAACAAAGATATGGTAACAATTTTGGTAAAAGCTGTTTTATGAAACACAACAATACACATGTTTATTTTGTACATGTACATGTCAATGTACATTCAAGCTATTCTCTCACATGAACTCTAACATCCATAGCAAATAATTTTATAAAAAAATTACCAACCGTGCAGCTACTGTGAGTAGCCTTCTTGTTTAACCAGGTGTTTTTACAGCTGTTTTCCTCTGAATATTTTATTACCCTATGAGCCCATCCATCAAACCAATAGCAGCAGGGACATAACAAATTGATTTTTTTTTTTTTTAAAAAAAAGCAACTCAATGACAAAGCACTCAGAATAGCCAGAACATTTGAAACAACAGTTTGAAACTTTTATTTAATGTCTTTTGTTCCAACTTTTAAATAGAACTAATAAAATATACATGTTTTAGAGTAGTCTTATTAATAGTTTTTGAGTAAGAACACTTCAAAATCAACATGTTTGCACATCTTGATTGTATCTTAATACATTACAGCTGTTCAAAACGATAAAAAACTTATGAACCTGGAATTTTTATGAGAATTTATATTAGAATCCAATCTATACATTTTCTTTGCATGAAATATTTATAAACAAGGTAAATAATTAGAGCAACTAATGCTAATAAGACTAAAAAATTAGAACTTTAATATTTAACTAAATATCTGGCGCACATGTTCCCGCTGCTCTCTCTCAATATAAATATAGATCGATATAAGCACATCCAATAAAATAAGTTTATTGGATACCCATAAAACCACAGAAAATAACAAATTAATCCAATTAAACTTTTAATATTTCTGATCTTGTATACAATATTGTTTGCATGCAATATTGATTTTGTATACACTTCCAGCAACATTAACTATAGGTATAGCTTCAGTATATCTTTATTGACACTTATTATAAAAACGGCATTACGAGCATGTGTTCAATTAGCATTAACTCTTTTTGTGTGTGTTTATATTCAGTATCAAGTACAATTTCTCCAGGAGACACAGCTGAAATTTCTGGTGATTCTCCTGTGCCAACTAACCGGAGTGAACCAGTCTTGCGTTATATGCAGACACAAGATCCAATGGAAAAGAAGGAAGGAATACTTAAAAAGAATATTCATATAAAAAATAAAGCAAAGATGAAAAAGAGGAGAATAAAAAGCCACAAGCCAAGAAGAAAACATGAACATATGAAGGATCAAAGGGAAGAAGAGGTGGAAACCAGATTGGAGGAAGAAAAAAGAAGAGTTTATGAAGAGGAAGAGCTAAGAATTGAGAAAGAAATTAAAAAACAAGAGCAAGAACAAGAAAAAGAGCAAGAACAAGAACATGAGCAAGAGCAAGAAGAAAATGAACAAGAGAAGGAAGGAAGTGAAGAGGAGGAAGACACATTGTATGGAGACGTGTTCAGAATGCTCCCACACTTCCCAATTCCTGAGCCTTCTACTGAAATTCCTCCTTTGCCTACCGGATGCTCTGTCTTAGAAAATACAGTAAGCTGCATTAGCACCAAACTCACACATATACCCGTAATCAGGGATGAAGAGCTTACAAGCATAGAGCTTGAAGGTGAGGATTTTTTATAATACATTGGAAGTATTTTAAAAGAGCTCTTTATCCAAATGAAACCCAGAACTCTGTTCAAAGGCATTGATATAATTATGACAATATAAACACAGTTATTATTTATTCTATTCCTAATGCTCTCCTTTTATTTTACTTCACTCACTGCAGAGGCATAATTATTATTTTAAAATAGGTCATCCTCTGAAGAGAGTTGAAAAGACCTCTCCTTGCAGGTTACTGAAAGGCAAGCACTGGGGAAGATCTTGAGAAATTAACCTCCTACTCATTCATCAGTTTTCCAATGTTGCACTTGATTAAATAGTTTCCTATTATGAACACTGGGAAAGGAAGGAGGAGAGATCATTTTTATTTCCTGTAGTGTTGCATTAAATCTTCCACTTTGTTTGCTGTTTAATGAAGAGACCATATAAATCCTTACTAAAAAAAAAAAAAATTCCGGCCTAAAAAGTTATTAGTCTTTTCTTGAGTTAGGTTACTTGTACTGTACATTTAAAAAAGAAATGGTCAACAATTGGAGATCACATTCTTAACTTTTTTCATCCTTTTCCCTAGGGAATGACATCAGTGAAATTCCAGATGGAGCTTTCAACGGGCTGCCTAATTTGGAGAGAATTGATCTTCGTAAAAATAAAATCACATCATCTGGCATTGGTCCACAGGCATTTAAAGTAAGAAAAATCTATACAATCATAGACACAACTACACACATACACAAAGGTTATACTCAACTTTGGATGAAAAGTTAAGTAATTTTATTTCCTGCAACACTTGCATCATTTTACTTTCCTCTTTTTATTTTCAATATATTGTTTTAAATAATAGCATGTTTATAATATTATTCATATATATAAACATTACTACATTGAAATAATGTAATGTATTGTAATTTGCCTCCTGCGAGTCCCTTGGACTGCAAGGCGTTCAAACCGGTCAGTCCTAGAAAAGATCAACCCCGACTGCTCTTTAGAAGGCCAGATCCTGAAGTTGAAACTCAAATACTTTGGCCACCTAATGAGAAGGAAGGACTCACTGGAGAAGGGCCTAATGCTGGGAAAGATTGAGGGCAATAGAAGAAGGGGACGACAGAGAATGAGGTGGTTGGATGGAGTCACTGAAGCAGTAGGCGTGAGCTTAAATGGACTCCAGAAGATGGTAGAGGACAGGAAGACTTGGAGGAACGTTGTCCATAGGGTCGCGATAGGTGGGACACAACTTCACAATTAACAAATTGTAATTTGCAATATTTCTTTTTGGTGCCTTCAAGACAGTGTTGACTGTTGGTGACTGCATGGATAGGTCCCTGCAGTTTTCTTGGCAAGATTCAGAAGTGGTTTGTCATTGTCCCCTTCTCCTAAGAGAGTGACTGGTCCAAAGTCACCCAGCTGGCTTTGGGCCTAAAGTACAACTAAGTCTCCTGATTTCTAGCCTGGTGTCTTAACAACTTCCCCAAAGTGGGTCCAATTTACAACATTACAATTTTTAAAAAGAATATCAAAATATTCTTGTACTTTAAATAATGCAGTATTCTGCTTTTGCTTATTATGGATTGCATGTTCTTTCATCCATAAAATTCTACATAATTTTTCTGAAGACTTTTGTAATCCTTAAGATATACTGTACATCAGATTACACATTTTTTATTTTCTTGGCTATCATGAATTCCAGGAAGATTACATCTAGAGGTAATCTCCTAGTTCTTTATTCCTCTTTCTGACATAGGAATATGATCCAGCTCAACATAATGGTCGCTCCATTTTTAACAGATACCTCCAACTGATGTCAGAATAGTACTATTCTGTGCATTGGATACATCACTCCTACCCAGCAATTGTTTCTTCCAAAGTGCAAAACAGAAGAGAGATCTGGTGTCCTACTTTCCATCTCTATTACCCTATTGTTACATACTTAAAAGTATTAAAGCAGGAATAATCAAAAGCCACTCCCTTTGGAATTTTCCATGCTAATTAGGCACAATATTATTTCCAGTATTGTTTCCTTCCTATAGTTATATGGAGAGATAAAACTTTTGCCTGTTGTTCAGGTCTCTCTCTGCTTTTGCTTACCTTTTGTCAATTAACTTGATGTTTGCTGATGTTTAATAAATAAACATCAATCTATATTTTTGCTACTTGTATTAAGTGACGTGTGCTTACTCTAATCTGGCTATAAGAAATGGCTGGGAGTATGCTGAGTATAAACTGCCTTGGAAATTACTGGAAGTAATTTTTCAACAAAAGTAGTGTGGGTGTAGCAGAGAGTTATAGCTAAATCCTAGCACCAAGAGCACCCCAGTTACCAAACATCCTAATTTATTTCCAAGTACTTAGTCAAGCTGAATCAGCAATCAGATACTATACACTGCAGTATTTTTAGGACTAAAAACATCCTACTAGAAGAGTGTTTTTTTTCATACCTTCAAAGCTATCATAAAAATTTTTGGAAACTTACAAGAAGGACAAAATACGATGACTACATAAAGGCAAACAGAAAGCCAGCCAACCATCAAAAATTATTTTTTCAGACATTTATGGTCCATGTCAATTAAAACAAATGGTGGAAAAATTATTTTAAAACATTCAAAGACTCTTACTCAAAATAGATTTGAATCTATCTTTTAATCAAAAAGCAAAACATAAACTAAAAAACTAAATCAAATATGGTAAAACATGAGCTTTAAATGGGAAATCCTGAACCATGCTTATATACAGAGCTAAAAATGGAAGACATACGAACAATCCTGTATTATGACTACATAACTGTAGGAGCAGAAGACAAAGGAGACAGCTTGAAGATCATGAACTATTTAAATAAAGAAGTGGAAGATACTAGGCTTCAATTCCTGGAATTGAAATTATATATAAAATAGAGAGTACTTGATCTACCAAAACCAAAAAATGATATTAATAACGTTTCTAAGTCTGAGTTAGACAAAAGTCAAGGACACAATAGAATATTGGATATCTGAATTGAAAGAGGGAACCAGAATGAGTTGGCAAGTAACAAGCAGAACAGAACAGTTGGCAAATAACAAGCAGAATATATGCTAGGGAAAGCATATATTGCATCTGTGAATAAATCTGTTACAGCCAACGAAATTTCATTGCATATAGAAAGATCAATAAGAAAACATAGGCAGACTGAACATCAGTAAAAAGATATGGGAGATACTTAAAAGAAACAATGGACTTTAAAACTGTAAGTAATCATCCAAAAATTATTTGATATACACATTTGAATTGAGTCGGTAAATAATTTTGCCTGGAAATCAACTACAGGATACATATATTATTTTAATGGGAGTGCATTAATTGCCTGCTGCAGCAACATCTACAGAAGTGAAATACCGTGCTGTGGAAAAAGGATGCGGGGAATACATGTGGCCACACAAACTTCAAAATAAAAGAACCAATCCCAACTATGTTATATGAGAATTGCAGACACAAAGCCCTCCAACCCCCAAAAGAAATACGTAGATATTGAACTATGAAGGACACGCAAGAAAAGGGGCAGGTACAACTGAAGTATTGTCCAACTGATGCAATGATGGCAGCTGTGTTTACCAATCACCTGCTCAGAGCTCCTTGCTCAAGCTGGAGAAGCCCTGGGAGTCAATACATGAAATCAGTACAACCCGCTAGAGTACAGAATGCTGTGCATAGAATTGATGTAAAGGGAAATGTTCGATACATCATACCTCTGTGCCAGACTGTTACTTTCATGGTGAAGAAGAGAGGGCAGCTCACCTGGGATCCAACTTTCTATTACTATTCTGTCCCTATTATATTCATAAAGGATCAAAGTTGGAATAACAGAATAGAATAACAGAGTTGGAAGGGACCTTGGAGGTCTTCTAGTCCAACCCACTGCTCAGGCAGGAAACCCTGTACCATTTCAGACAAATGGTTGTCCAATCTCTTCTTACCAAACCCATTCCCTTTGGATCTGTCCATACTAAGTGTCAATATTGTTTACCCTGGAAAGTTCTTCTTCACTGTTTTGATATAGAGGTAAGAGACAGAATAATGTGAATTGTCCCCTGCTGTTTGTATCTGTCCCTGCTATTATCTGCCTTTTTTCTGTTTTTTGCCAAATGCTTTTCTTAATGTTTGTTAATGTTTAATAAATAATTATCAGGCTATGGCTTTTGGTAGCTGTACTGAGTACTGAGTGTACTTACTCTGGTTTGAATATAGTGTCCTGAGTCCAAACTAAACTGGAAATTACTCACAATCATTTTCCAGTGACAGCCAGTTTTTAGCAGTGGTTAAGGCAGTAGGCTAGAAACCAGAGAAACAGCGAGTTCTAGTCTTGCCTTGGGGCTGAAGTCAGCTGGGTGACTTTGGACTGTTTACTTTCAGCTGAGGGCAGAAATAAAGGGCACACAACTTCCAAAAATGTGATAGTGATTCAAGTGCACACATACACACATGCATTCTTCCCAAACTGTAGAGTTTATTCCTTTTAAAACGCATGAGAATATATTTACCACCCAATATTTGAATTTTCTCTCAAATTTCCCATATCCTGTTCTTTAATAAATTTGTTTTGCTGTAATAGTTTTCCATGTTAATGTTGCTTGATACTAATACCTTACTTTTATTTTTTTATTTTATTTCACACATTTTTAAATTAAATTTCCAGCTTCATACATTGTTCAATTTAAATTTAAATTATTTAAATTAATTAAAATTATTATGTTTTATTTTAGCATGTGCTGGCAAAGGTTCTTTGGCCATTGAATCTCTTGTCTTCAAAGAGCTGTAGCAGCACCATCACATTCTGCACATGTTCTTTGGACCAATAATTTAGCTAGTGTAGATTAATAAAACAGAGATTTACAAAATGAGTATTTTCTTTTAATACAGAACTTGAAGAATCTGCAACGTTTATATATGGATGGAAATACACTAGTTAGTATTCCACATGGTTTGCCATCATCTTTGGAAGAACTTAAAATAAATGAAAATGAAATACATGTAATTAATGAAGACAGCTTTCAAGGTATTTTAAAATGTTACCTCATTATCATCATGAGAGTTTTTAACTTCATGCAAACAAAATTGAGATCTTTGATTTTCTGGGGAAGAGCTTACTTTTCCCCCCACTTAGATTCTATCACTAAGATTTACTTCTTTCATTCCTATGACACAGAGTTACGTATTGGCCTCATCAAAAATTATAAGAGTGGTGCAAACTGAGAAGCACAGGATGAATCATACTTTCCACATCATGATAGACACCATGAAAGTCATTGTTAGGAGGCACTTTTTCTATCAATGAATTCCTAGGAGCAGCAGGGAGCATCATGGGATATGGGAATTGCACCTAGGTTTTATAGCACAGTGCTATATACTTTTGCTCAAACTGGGATTTCCCAAGATACCACTGGCAACTACATACTTACAAGGGAGTCCTTGGTGCTCTTTGAGTTTTGTTGTTTGCTTGCAGACATTTCATTATCCAATTAGGTAATATATCAGTGCTAATAATATGTGGTTTGTTCCCAGTTTCTAAACAGTCACTTGCCCTGCAATGTTAGTGGGCATGTTGATTTCTCTTTGTTAGTTCCTTGATCAGAATATTTTCTGCTTGATAATTTATCTGGAGTTTTTGTTTTATTCTTAGCTTTTTAAATTCTCTCTTGAATGGTGTGTGGATGTGGTTTATCTCTATGTGGGTACCAGATAAATGTCAGGAGGGATTAACACTAGATAAACAATTAAATAGAAAATTAATTAGGGAACTACCAGGGAGAAAGCTACATCCCCATCAATATCATCAGGACAAGCTATATCAAAAGGAAATAAACCCCATATTCACTCTTACTGATGGTGTTATGTATTTGGGTAATTAAACCTCTGCAAACAAACAGCCAAACTCAGAGAACATCATGGATTCCACAGTTCAATGCTGAGTTGCATATATTCTCTCCTATTGGATACTTATAACAGCCAGCTATCTATTTATCTATTGATATCTATTATTGTCCCCCAGATATCATTATTGAGACCTAATTCAGCCATTTACTGGATGATTTATGGGCTCCTCCTCCCTAGATCCTCAGTGTAATTCTAGTGATTGCTTCACATGTCTCCTGTGTTTCCTGGAAAATAAGCCCTAACCGGAAAATAAGCCCTAGCATGATTTTTTAGGATGCTTGTAATATAAACCCTACCCCCAAAATAAGCCCCAGTTAAGATTAACAGCCAGATGGTCACATTTAGTAGCATATTTCCCTGAAAATAAGACCTAACCAGAAAATAAGCCCTAATGTGTCTTTTGGAGCAAAAATTAATGTAAGAACCAGTCTTATTTTGGGGGGGAAACACTGTATTGCCATGTCTTATTAATAGCTCCTGTGTGGCGATGATAATGGAATGTGTGGATGATCTTGGGGAAGAAGGGAAGAAGCTGCCTAGGAAACAATCAGACAAGAGAGACAGGAGCCCCTCGAAGAAACTTAATGGTTCCAGCATTAATGGTTCAAGCACTTAAAAAGTGGCAGCAAAAAGTTTGTACTTTCAAGACTTGTAGATTCTTCTAATGTATCCTTATAATAAAGTAGAACTACTTCATCTAGTCATGTTTCCTATCTGGGTTACCTGGGAGGGCTGATGGGAATGCAGTAGGAATTAAAACTGTCCAATGAAGTTCCCAGTTTTCTATACAAGGCTAATTGTTAATTGTTAGCTATTTTATGATCAATATTGGTGAATTTAATAATATTATATAGTAGAAACTCAGATTTAAATGTTGTATTGAAGAAAATTTATTTTGGATCTAAATATACATTTCCTGCTAGCAATATTTGACAGGTGATAGATGGCAGATTGGTAGGTAAGTAGGTAGAGACAGATAATAGATAGCTAGACCGACAAATAGATAGATACATTTTCTCCATGACAATATCTCTCAGTAATTGTTTTATAATTACTTTGAATGTTGGAGCAAAGCTTCAGATATCAGTGGTTACTAGCATTATATTATTAAATCCTCTGTAGGATTGAAGTTAGTTCTATATTATATTGTTTATTATTTATTCAGTTTCAACACCTTCTTCCTACATTGAGTTTTATTACATGTCAAGTCCTCATGGTCTCTTACATGGAATCTGTAATTATTTCTCAAATGGGACATGTATGTATGTATGTAACTGTATAGTTGTGACAGAAATGCGGCCGTGTGTGTACGTGTGTCCTGATTATTTATTAGCCTAAAATTCTACTCTTAGCTGAGGATAATAGATAATACATTAATACTTTATTTAATGTTATTTTTTAAACTGTTTTTATTTCTAAAGGTTTAAAAAAGTTGCTAATACTGGAATTAGAGAGCAACAAGCTTAGTGAAGCAAATGTCAGCCCTTTAGCTTTTCAGCCTTTGAAAAGCTTGTCATATTTGCGGCTTGGACGAAATCAGTTTAGGACTATTCCACAAGGTCTTCCCCATTCTATTGAGGTAAAATAATTTTTGAAATTATTAACTTCCTTTATTTTGTAAAGTTTAAATATTTGTTCAGGAAATATACATCAGTAATAATCAATTAAGTTCTTAAACCTCTTGGCACATTAAGTGTAGAACACATTCAGGATAATATATGAAAGAAGAACAGTTACTGTGTTTCCTCTTCTTTCATATATAACTTATATTTCTCAGGCAACTTTACACAACAATTGCATAGCAGCTCTATGAAATCAGTTTCAAATCATAAATAATAGATTTTAAAGAGCTATTTTAAGTTTTAATATACCAAACCATATGATTCCATGTTTCTTTTTTCTACCATTTGTTTAATTAGGAATTATACCTTGATAATAACCATATAGAAGAAATTTCAGAAATATGCTTTAATCAGACCAAAAGCATAAACACAATTGTTCTAAGACATAATAAATTAGAAGAAAGCAGAATAGCCCCATTGGCATGGATCAATCATGAGTAAGTACAAATTACTGTCAGCAATATTTGCCTAATGTAAAAATAAAGAACATTAAAAGTTGAACTGTGTAGAAGGCAAGTTTTCTGCAACTGCATTGGAATTCATGATTATTTGTAAGCTGTTTGTTTTCCTCCTGTGGTACAGTATGAGAGGAGGGCAGCATGACTTTCTCAGTTTGAAACAAGTTTTGGAACAAACAGAAAAAGACACATTTGTTTCTGTTTCCTGCATAGTCTCAGTATAGGATGAAAATCATCTTCAGGGCCTGCACTGATATATATTGATATATACCATTAATAACAAGGGAGGTCCAGACTATTTTTCACTGGGTTTTAAAATATAAAAGTCAGCAGCAAATTCTTTCACTCTTTCCCCTTTGTCATGATCTAATAAGATATGAGAGGTAAATGGTCTCAATCAGACATTTTCAAATAATGCTGTAAAAGAACTTCTTTCCCATGAGAAAATGAAAGAAAGGAACAACTCTATCTGTAACAGGATTTTAAGGAAGGGCCTGATTTTTGTTTCATATTATAGTAAGATTAAGAGTTGGGTAAAATTGACTCTTACAGGAATGAAACATTCTGGAGAACTCTGAAATGTTTCATTCCTTCTCTAGAAAATACCCGGTAGTGACCTAGCAATTTCCTAGAAGTTAGAACATACGGGTAGTCCTCAACTTATAACCATTTGTTTAATGACAATTTGAAGCTATGCTGGCCCTGGAAAAAGTGACTTGAAGTTATGACCATTGTACTGTTCTTGTAGTCATAGGATTGCAATTTGGGCACTTAGAAATTGGCTGGTATTTGCAACAGCTGTAGCATCTGCAGTCACATGTTCACGATTTGCTTTACAACCACATCAATTTATGATGGAAATTCCTGGTCCAATTGTGATCATAAGTTGAAGATTCCCTGTTTGTGGAACTTCGTGAACTATTTCTAATTTGCAGGATTAGCTTTCAGAAAATTGTCAAACCACTTCTGGGATGATCAGACCAGTGTGACCTAGAGAAGAGTGGAAGTTACACAGGATTTGTAGAATATTGCCTGGAAAACTAGATTTTGCACTTCCCTACTAAATTTTCTAAAAGTCTCTGTAGTAGCCCTTGATCATCTGTAGAGCTCAGAATATTTATCTGTTCTTTGCTCTGGAATTAGCAGAAACCTTGGGTCAAAAACAGTTTCCAGGAAGAACACATAGAAATATCATGAGAAGAATGAAAAAAGTTTAAAGGATGTTATGCATGAAATGAACTTATTGATAAGCTGAAAAACAAGCTGAGAATTGTATAGAAAATTGAAGTAGGGGCTAATGACTAAGAAAGAGTAGAAAGAGTTTTAATGAGTGGGGATGGAGTCAGAAAAGCTAATGAGACTAGTGAGGAATGCAAAATGTAAGAAAAATCAGGGCTTGAACTTTGTCCATTGTAAAATAAGAGAAAAGGAGTTAGTTTATTGCACAAGGAAAGTGGATCTATAAGTAACTAAGTACCTGTCACTGCAAGAGAACAAACTTATTCTCCATTGATACTGAGGAAAGGACAAGGAAGAACAGATTAACATTAAAAGAAAGAAGATTCTGGCTGCATATTATGAGGAATTTCCTGGTAGCAAGAACTGTTAATCACTAGAATAGTGTACCTAGAACCATGTATTCCTCTTATTGAAGTTTTTCAAATGCTCTTGCCAGAGATGGTTTGATGCAGTTCTTCCCAAACCTTTTCCTTCAATATCCAAACCACTTATCAGAAAATCCTTTCAACCAATGTAGATAAAATACTTTAAGCCAATTTAAATGTCCCTGTTATGTTTGGATAATGGGTTTGTGTACCATTACCCAAAGAAAAACTACTTTTACCCAATTTGTGGTAATTTACCACAAGTTTGGGAAGCCCCATTTTAATGGATTGAAATGAAAACTCATATAAGATCCCTCCCAACTCACACATTCTACATCTCTGTGAAGTAACAGGGAGTCAACATAGGATCTTGGCAGAATAATTTGTGTATCTATTATCAAAAAACATAATATTTGAAAAAAGTAGAATTAAAACACTGTTCAATCCTTATTATTGTTGGACTTTGCAAACTAAACATATATGTTCAATTTAATTAAAACAAAAGTAAGTATTTGAAGCACCTTCCTCTTAAATGTCAAAAAAGGGGGGAAAATTCTCTCACCGTTATCCCTTAGTTTAAAAACTGAATCAGTATAGTCAAATTACATTACATTACTTTAGCAGTGTTTTCATGAAATAACTGGAGGAGGAAAATTAAGAAGGCAGGCAACTGGACCTATAAATATTTCCATAGTTTTTTTCTCTTATGTAGCTTCAAAACTGCCAGTCCCCAGATACTGCAAATTGTTATGAATAATTCGAGAACTGTGATGAGAAAGGAGTAGGTGGTACAAAGAAAAATCTCTTTAGGGAATTGAGATGTTTATTAAAAACAAATGGCTAGTTGGTATTTCTTTTTGCAGTCCTACCTCTATATTAAATAGTATGGAATCTGTTGCAGAACTGCAAATTTCCAGATTTTTGAGGCATGAAATAATTACCCCAGCACCTCCTTGAATAGAGTCACTGTTATGCCTTATAGTTTCATCAATGTAAGTAGTTCTTTTAGGATAGAAAGCTGCATGCTGATTTTCTTTCTGGAAAGTGAAAAATGCAACAAAAAGCAAATAATCCCTAAGACATCATTCTTGACTATATGTCATGGGGAATCTCTAGAACTAAACTCTCCTAAATGTGCTGCCAATTTATATGCTGGGGAAATACTTTGGATCACTAGACTCCTTGTCTATGACGAGTACATATAGAGTTTTCATTAGGGTACAAAGAATTCTTTGCCTGCTAATCAGCTATTATCCTTTTCTTGGGTAAACTAAAAAGCAAGGGAAGGTTCAAACATACTCCTACTTTCTACATAAATCTTAATCTGAAAGCATTGGTCATTATCCAGGGCCTACTGCCTAGATGGCTACAGCTGTCCTAAAGTTCTGCTGACTTCTTTTTTCCATATTACTTCATTCATAACTGTCTAATAGCCTTCAACAAGGCTGGGTGGGACAGTAGTACACAAACATCTGCTGTAAGCATTTGCAGTGTCCATCAGTGTTAACCAAAGAACATTAAAAACATTATTGTGGCCACAGATTTTACTAACCAAATTTATTTAACAAAATAGAAACAAATCAATCAACCCTGGTTTTTAAATGACAACGAATCATAGATTTTGCTCTCTCTCTTTTTGGCCTAATAGAATTGAAATCTCCCATTTGGTTTTCTACCTTGTACGACCTAGGCAACAATGGCTTGTGCAACAAAACATGGTGTCAAAAACAGAAATAACCAGAAAAATCAAACTATATCTCCTCATTCAGATAACATACTAAGCTACAATTGTAATCAGTAAGTCTGCCCTTCATATTATGACAAAAAACAACCAAATTATACCCTAGAACATTTGTGTATCAGCAACATGAACTTAGCCATACAGTTGGAATAGATGAGATTGAGTGCTTCAATATTCCTACCTTTTGCTTTGCAATGTCTGTTATCTTGCTCTTTTTAATTTTTGTGTATTTTGTCTTTGTCTCCAGGAACTTGGAATCTATTGATCTTTCTTACAATAAGTTGTATCAGGTTCCCTCCTATTTGCCAAAGTCATTAGTACATCTTGTACTCATAGGGAACCAAATTGACAGAATTCCAGGATTTGTATTTGGACATATGAAACCAGGGCTGGAATACCTCTATCTTTCATTTAACAAACTTGATGAAGGTGGGATAGATATTGTGTCATTCTATGGAGCATACCATTCTCTCAGAGAAATGTTTTTAGATCATAACCAGTTGAAATCTGTGCCACTTGGAATTGCAGAAATGAAAACATTAAATTTTCTAAGACTCAACAACAACAAAATCAGGTAATATAATGGTGTGTGGGAAAGACCTTGGGAGATGGGGAGAAGAAATGCTGTATAGCCGTAATTCCCAACCTTTCCGGCTTGGTGGACTGGTGGGTAGGGGAGAGGGAATGGTTCCACACAAGCAGCACATGGAGCTCTGCTTGCATGACCATGAGCTAACACAAGTAGAGCTGCCTGCCACTTGCGCAGCCCAGTTCCAAACAGGCTACGGCCTCATAGGGCCCGTGAGTTGGAGACCCCTGCTGTAAAGGGAATACTCAGATAATATAGGGAATACTCAGATAAGAGTCACCATAGCCTGCAGCTACACAGTGGGCAAAACAAGATGTTCAGAAAGGACTGTCCCTAAGTTCTTAGGCTGTAAAGGTGAAAATGGGAAATTTTTACTTTCAGATTTGCAAGATTCTGTTAATGTAGCTTTATAAGAAAGTATAATTAGCTTATCAGGGCATATATCCTATGTGATTTACTTGGAAGTCTAAAAAGTAATTAAGTATTTTTTATAAGTTAAATTTAAATATAATAATTTGGAGAAGCATAAGATTAAATGCATTAATGTCTTCTACACTTTCATAGAGTATCAATTTATAAAATTCTATTTTGATGCTTTAAATACTTGAGCCATGCAGAATGAGACCTTGTTAGTACAATCAGATAATACAAGAAAGTGTTAGCAATCTTTTAAAAAAAGCACACAATTTTTTTTAGGACTTCAGCAACCTCAACTCCAAGTTCTCCCATAAGAACAGTTCTTACCTGTTATCTTAGTATAGAACAATAAAATCCTTTAAGCGTTGGCAATTTTGCCAGATTTATCCATTTTTTAAAAAATAAAAAATAAAATTCTAGGTGCTAAATAATGGTGTCATATATATTATAGTATATGTGTGTCATGTAACTACTTCTTGATAAAGGTTGTAATGAAAGACAACTATGTGGTAGGCACTCAAGTAAGTTCTTTTTAATAGGACAAAAGTAGAGTGGCCATTTAGGAAGTACTGATAATTTAGTTTTAGTGGGAAAATATTGTTACCAAAATAACCAGAAAAGAATGCCAAATTTGTTTAAAAGTGTTTGATTTCTCTTCTTCCAGAAAAAAAAAATGCTGGCAATCAAATTCCTGGGATTAAACATATAAAATTTTTTTAAAATGTCCAAATACAATGAAAATACCCAAAAACTACTTTTAAAGAAAGCAGTTAAAAGACTAAGCATACCCAAGTGTGAATAAACATTGCAGGACACAATCTGCAATAAAAAGCTTGATTTGAACTTGATTCCTGATTGCTACAAAGATCCATATAGCTCCTATAGCAAAAATTAAAAAGCAAGAGTTGAACATGCTTTGAGGAGTGTATTCCTGCTAAAATTTGATCCAGTAAAGAGGTAACAGCAATCAATTTATTTCACCACAGCTGATGGCAACATAACAATAGCAAAAATATATAGTAAGTTCCAAAATATACTGTATTTTGGAATCCTCCAAAAATACTGCTTAACTAGATGGGTCTTGTTTTAGCCTAGCTACAAAGATTTATCTTTGCATTTCATTACAAACAACATATTTACATAGCAGTTTCTTCAATGTAATTTTTCCTTAACTGTTTAAAACTTAACTAACAGTTAATTATTTATATATTTAATCAGCGAGAATGCACTATTATGAGATTAAGCATTTTTGCAATCAGGATTAGGGAACTACCTGATATGGTGAGGGAAAATTTCCTTGCTGACCAAGTATGAGACTAAATGACTGATTTGTCATTTTTGGACTGCTGTGTAAGGAAAATGTCAATTAGCCAGAGTGAGGCACACTTTTCTGCTAGCTTTTTCAACTATCCATCAAAGTTTCTAGCTTGAAAATTATCTGGAAAATAATTGATGAGGTTTATTAACAAAATATAATAATTACCCTTGCTTCACTAATCCTGGTATGGTTTTACAGAGCTGTCCCTCCAGAGCGAATTTGTAGATCCAGGTTAAATAATGAAGAGGAAAATGATGACATTGACGAGGAAGAAGACTATGAAGATTCGCCGTTAGAATATCTTCACCTTGAACACAATTTTATTAATACAAGGAACCTTTCACCATATGCTTTTTCATGTGTACGATCATATTCTAGTGTGATTCTGAAACCTCAGAATATTAAATAAAATGTTTTGTAATACAAAACTATTTTTATATGTAAATAATACAGTTATGCTATTTGTTCTTCACCTGCAATTAATATGTCATAAAAAGCATCTGAATATTACTGTTGCTTAATAATAGTAATGCTTATGGCAATAAAGTATGGAGTATGAGTATGAAGTATGGAAGTATGTAGCATGAATGTCTCCAAGAAAGTGATAACATGCTACAGATAAAGTGCTATATACATGTAATATAAATGTTTTAAGGAAGAACAATAAACCTGGAATTTATTGAGCTTCCAATTAATTTTAGAGTTAGTTCAATCAAGACAATTTTCAATACAATGAATTATAATATTTTACATCCTTTGAAGTATGCAATTACATCATTAAAAATATCCAAAAATACGTTAAAAATTAAAATGTCATGGTAGTAAAATAAAAGTTTTGTAATATGAAGACTATTCATCAGAGCTACATTTTAAAAACACTGGCTTCTTTTTTCACCATTGCAAAATGCATTCATCCTAAATATGCAACATCCTGGAGATCATCTAAAAATTCTTAGGAAAAAAAACCTGTACTTCAGACAATGTGATATGCTTGAGAAAACTATTAAGCATCTTTTGGAATCATAAAGGTATATACATTCTCAACTTGCTATATGATGAGGTAGATGTATCAAAAGCTGCCTTCTCTCGTGACTCTACATTTAACTGGATTTGCCAATACCTTTTGTAGGCAGAGTAATATGGCATGAGGCTTACTTAGATAACATCAGTATGGTATTTATAGGCAAACGTGGGAAGAATATCTAAAGCATTTGGGAAAAAACACAAGTCTCCTGAAGGCTGCCCTAGCAGTAAATTCAAAAAAGCAGATTATAAAGAAATCATATTTAGATTTTCTGGTAGGAAAGATATGAAATTAGATAAAAAGAAAACATTAGTTCTGAAAGAAGTCAAGGCTCCAAAAACAAAGAAAGAAGTTAATTTTCTTTTTGGACTAGTACAGCACAAATTGGTTTGTTTCCCATTTTGCCAGCTTTGACACTTCTCATTGAAGAGATTAAAATAAACAATATTGGTTATATTATGTATATATTACATACTGTATTTATTTTTCTGTCTTACTGTAAACTGCTCAGAGTCATGTATGTGAAATGAGTGGCTATATTAAATCAAATAAATAAATAAATATTGAAATTGACATCAGAATGTCATTAAAATTTCAATACTTGACAGGAGCTTTGTGTCAAAGATTCAGCATAAAAGGGCCAGAGTATGATAAGGATTCCAGCAATAAATTATGCTTCTGACATAGAACTTGGTATAGACTCATGGGGAAGGAAATAATGCAGTGGTATATTTAGCCAATATACTATCTTTAGAACAAGCTAACTATAGCACCATTGAAAAGAAAGAGATGGCCTTGAAATGGGCCATAGATAGGCTCAAAGTAATAATAATAATAGTAGTAAAGTTGGAAGGGACCTTGGAGGTCATCTAGTCCAACCCCCTGCTCAGACAGGAAACCCTATACCATTTCGGACAAATGGCTGTCCAGTCTCTTCTTAAAAACTTCCAGTGTTGGAGCATTCACCACTTCTGAAGGCAGGTTGTTCCACTGGTTAATTGTTCTAATGGTCAGGAAGTTTCTCCTTAGTTCTAGGTTGCTTCTCTCCTTGATTAGTTTCCATCCGTTGCTTCTTGTCCTGCCTTCAGGCGCTTTGGAAAATAGCTTGACTCCCTCTTCTTTGTGGCAGCCCCTGAGATATTGGAACACTGCTATCATGTCCCCCTTCGTCCTTCTTTTCATTAAACTAGACATACCGAATTCCAGCAGCCGTTCCTAATATGCTTTAGCCTCCAGTCCCCTAATCTTCTTTGTTGTTCTTCTCTGTACTCTGTACTCTAGAGTCTCAACATATTTTTTAAAGCGCAGTGACCAAAACTGGATGCAGTATTCCAAGTGTGGCCTTATCAAGGCATTGTAAAGTGATATTAACACTTCACGTGATCTTGATTCTATCCCTCTGTTAATGCAGCCTAGCACTGTGTTGGCCTTTTTGGCAGCTGCAGCACACTGCTGGCTCATATTTAGGTGATTGTCCACTAGGACTCCCGAGGTCCCTCTTATAGTTACTACTATTGAGCAAGGTACCCCCTATACTATACCTGTGCATTTGGTATTTCTTGCCTAAATGTAGAACCTTACTTTTTTCACCATTGAATTTCATTTTGTTAGATAGTGCCCAGTGTTCAAGTCTGTCCAGATCCTTCTGTATCTTAAGGCTGTCTTCTGGAGTGTTGGCTATTCCTGCCAGCTTGGTGTCATCTGCAAATATGATGAGTTCCCCACCTATCCCCTCGTCCAAATCGTTGAAGATGTTGAAGAGCACTGGGCCCAGAACAGAGCCCTGGGGCACCCCACTACACACTCCCCTCCATATAGATGCGGTTCCATTGAGGACCACTCACTGAGTACGGCTGATCAGACAGCTACGGATCCATCTGGTGGTGATGTTGTCTAACCCACATTTTTCTATCTTATCAAGTAGTAGGTTGTGATCTACTTTATCAAGTGGCTTACTGAAGTCCAAGTAAATTATGTCCACAGCATTCCTCTGATCCACTAATTTTGTCACTTGGTCAAAGAATGCAATAAGATTTGTCTGGCATGATCTATTTTTGACAAACCCATGTTAGCTTTTAGTAATGACTTTGTTTGCCTGTAGGTGTTTGCTGATTCGTTGTTTGATTATCTTTTCCAGGATCTTCCCAGGTGTTGAGGTCAGGCTGATAGGTCTGTAAATTTCCTGGGTCCATTTTTTTCCCCTTTTTTGAAGATGGGAACTACATCAGCTCTTTTCCAGTCCTCTGGTAATTCCCCTGTGCTCCAGGATCTTTGAAAAATATAGTTCAGTGGTTCTGAGATCACATCTGCCAGTTCCTTGAGAACCTTGGGGTGTGATCCATCTGGTCCTGGAGATTTGAACTCGTCTAGGCTGGACAGGTGCTCACTTACCATTTTCTTGCCTATCTTAACTTGTGTTTCTATTCTGGTTTTTATGGCACTCTTTTTGATAGGTTGGTCTGTTTTTTCCCTTTGTGTAAAGACAGATGCAAAAAATGAGTTAAATAGTTCTGCTTTCTCCCTGTTGCTTGTTACCTTCTTGCCACTTTCACCCACTAGTGGACCAACCATTTCCTTCACTTTTTTCTTGTTTTTTACATGTTGAAAGAAGCTTTTTTTGTTATTTTTGACTTTGGTCACAAGCCTTAGTTCATTTTGAGCCTTAGCTTTCTTCACTTCATCTTTGCAGGCTCAGGCTATTTGCTGATATTCTGACTTAGTTTTGTACCCCTCTTTCCACTTTCTATACTTGTCCTTTCAATTTGTCAGAGAGTTCTTTATGTAGCCATGCTGGTTTCTTTTGAGAGCTGTTATTTTTTCTCTTTGCTGATATTGTGCTAGACTGGGCTTTTATTATCTCATTTTTCAAAATTTCCCAAGCTTTTTGAGTTGTTTTCCTCTTGAGGATTCTTATCCATGGAGATTCTCATCCGAGCGCTCTCTAAGTTTATTGAAATTAGCTCTCTTGAAGTCCAAGACTCTAGTTTGACTGTGTTCTATTGCTTGTGCTTCCATAATGTTGAATTTTAATATTGCATGATCATTTCCTCCCAGGGTTCCTATGGCTTCAACACCTTCTATCATTTCATCTCTGTTAGTGAGAATTAGATCCAAAATGGCTAATCCCCTAGTTCCCTTCTCTACTTTTTAGGAGACAAAGTTGTCTGCTAGGTTTGCCAGGAACCTGTTTGATCTTCCACTTGGTGCAGAGTTTGTCTCCCAGTTGATGTCAGGGTACTTAAAGTCCCCCATTACTATTGTGATGTGCTTCCTACATACCTTAGTTAGCTGACTAGCAAAAAGTTCATCTATTTTCTCTGTTGGTTGGGTGGTCTGTAGTATACACCTATGGCAATGTCATTTCCCCCCCTTTTATATTGACCCAAATGCATTCAAGTATATTTATGAGACTGAGAGTTTACAATCATAATGGATAACTAACCGCTTGTCTAGATATAGTGGATGAAACAAAAGTAATCCTTCAATTACAGTTATATGTCTTTGCCAAGCTACATATTCAGCGTACAACAGAGAGCAGGGATATAAATCATTCTTTCAGACTTTTTATCTTGTTAGGGATAAGATACAGAAATGTGTAGTGAACTGGTCTGACAAGAATTTAAACAAAGGATCTCATCTCTTAAAAGCGATGAAGGATGTGGAACCTCCCAGATTGAGCAGGCATTTCTCCTTCCCTCCTGAAATCCAGAATTTCAATGTTGCCAGAAAAGGGGGGGGGGAAAGCCCAACCTTCTTCTTAATTAGAGAGAAGGCCTCTTAAATGGACCAGAAATCCAGCATGTGTGTGGGTATAGCAGAGGGGGAGTTGAGCCAGGAAGAGTTTTCAGTTCAAAGGCAAGTAACTCAGCAGCAGTCCCAGAGTTATAAAAGCCTTGGCGCTGCAAAACCCGCTGAGAGACAGAGCCAAAAGTTTGAGGGAAAGAGCCCAACTAACGTCTGCAAAGAAGTGACTAAAGCAAGACCACTCTGTGCAGCAGCCTAAGTGCAATCTTGTACAAAACCGCTCCAGGAAGAGATGATTGTGAGTGCTGGAGAGGAGAGAGAAGCCTCATATTCAAATCAACAGCAAAAGCACGAAAGGGGTTTTTAAGTGTAAATGGTTAGCATTTGGCTATAAGAGATGAAGATTCCCTACTCAAAGAATTAGGAAATATTTTTTTATAGAAAAATGTGGAGCAAAAGAATGTAGAGATTAGAACACAGACATGAAGTAATTGTAAGCTTATAGTAATTGGAAAGGTGCTAGATTAAGATAGGTTGTAAGAATTTAAGTAGGAAATAGGTGTAAACGTAGAATTTCTCTGAAAGAGAGAGAGAACAACAATGTTGTACAGCCTTCCCCAAGAGTGCTGGAAAGTGACAATAGAGGAAATGTTTTCTCATTCGGAAGTTATGCAATTCAATTATTTTCTTTCCCTTATTTACAAGCATGACGTAGTTTTTTTCAACAGTTAATAGAAGCTTTATATTCTAAAACAGTTGGTAACAATGCTAGTGACATTGTGTGGAACTTTTCCAGAAAACTAACAATTATTTATTAAAGTAGTATGCCATCGTAAGATTTTATGAGGGTCAGAACATTCCATCTGAAATTACGTACATTTGCCCTATATTTGTTAAAAAACTAAAAATTATAGTTCAGGCACGTCATGGGGAGTATTTCCAAGGATACTTTTATCTGCGAAATGTAATCAGTATATTCATAGAACTGTAGAACACTTCTGAAAGCAAAGTGGGCTATACAATTTTGATTACTGTACAAATCCAGCTGAAAGTTTGATGGCTTTTTCGAAATATTAAACATTGTGGGGTTCTTGGAAGCAATTGACTTGTTGCTGCCAGAAATTAGATACTGGATATTTGGTGTTTTTTTTTAATATTTAATACACAGAAAGCTCTTCTTTAATCTGCCAACTAATGTTTTGTATTAAGAGGCAGTATATCTATCAAAGACCACGGTGCCATCCTGATCTAGTTTCATTACCCATGTTTTTTTTTTTGTTTTTTTTTGTATCTGTAATTGGCATACACAGATCAGATTCATGGAAAAGGGTTCTGCATATTCCCAGTTCATTTTCTTGTGTGTGGTTTTTGGAGTGTTCTGCATTTTACACGTGCACAAAATAAGACATAGTTTTTTGCACATGTGTAAAGAAAGTTAGTTTGAGCTCTCATTATTTGTGAACATGTTATTTGCAGTTGTTAGCCTGGAACTAAACCCTTATGAACAACAAGAGCTACCTGTATGTTTACAAAAGGCATTACAAATAGTGAAAGATTAAAAACAAACAAACAACAGAACTGAGACTTCGAGTTGGGATCTTGCAGCGATGCAGACGCAGAAAGACAGGGCTCCATCTTTCGCATCTTGTTTTGCCCCGCTGGGGGACCCTGGAAAGGGTCGAAAGTCACCCCGTAGAGGCGGCATGCGAGGGGACTCTCGTTGATTGCGGGGGTGGGGGTAGCCCCTCCATTTGATCCAAGGAAGCCCTCCAAACCAGCGGAGGAAAGACTGGCAGCATTTGTGTAGCCAGTCCGAAGCCGCGAACAACAGAAGTCAACAAGTACTACCAAGCAACTTTACAGCAATGTGGATGAAACTGGGTGAGACCTGATCCTTTCTTTATGATTTTAAGATCTCTTCCTGAAAAGGAAGCACTCCCCCCCAATAAAAGAGGGAAAGGGAATTTCCACCCTATTCCTTCAGAAAAGAAAAGCGGTGAATTAATACTTGGGGACACTGGCGACCTATAAGACTTATGTGGAATTAAAATATACTTACAGCTTGAAACTTTGAGGGCCAAAACTTTTTTTAAAACCTTTTTATTTATTTATTTATTTTAAGAAAAAGACTTGAAAAGTTTAACAATATAAGTTTTGGATCTAAAAACTGGAAAGTGGCATTGATGATATCTAGTGGTGAACTATGGCACTATAACTTATTTATGCCTAAAAGAAACCTGGCTTGAAGCCCGGTTTGGAACTATTTTATTACTGAGAATTACAGTTGAGAAAAACAAGAAACAAGCTTGGGGGCTGCTTATCTATGTGGCAGAGAGAATAAACATTTTAAATTTGGCCTGTCTGAATTTTGAGCATAAATACTGACTTTCAGAACTGCATTGTGGATTTTTTTTAGTAGAAGAAATATATGGAACACTTTGGATTATAAATCTTCATTGTTAAAGAACCCTCAAAGATTCTTCTTTCTCCCTGGACAGAAAGGATATATTTTTTATTGGACAGAAAAACTTGAACTTTACTTATATCTGCTTAGGGGAGATTCAGGAACGAACGATCAGTTGGATAATCTATAAAGCCTACTTATTTAAAAAAAGTATGTTTTATATTCAGCATTAAATAGTAAAACATCTTTAACATCTGTTCCCAGCAGCCTTAACTTGCCATATCATCAAGAAAATACTGATGAAACACAGAAAGAAATTGTCTCCCTGCTGAAATTAATACAAAAAAAATTATTCTAGCTTGTGAGCAGGTTACTAAGAACACAAAGGAGATAAAAGAACAATTTTCTAATTCAAATCTACAAACTCAGAAGACAACTACAGAGAAGGAACCAGCAACCCAGAAAATAGAAGGAAAACTAGAGAATGCTGACACAAACATTGATGATCTAAAGGAGGAAACAAATGACCAGACTCAGATAAATGAAAACACAGAAGATATAATATTGGAAACGGAAAAGACATTTTATAAAACACGATTTTAGAACATACTGGATGACAAGGAAAGAGAACCGATGGAATGGAAGATAAAGTCGTTAATAGAACTGTGGGGAACCAGAAAAGGAGGGAGGCAGTTTAATGAATATCAACGGGCTAGCTCTTCCAAAAACATTTCAACCAAATTGTTTCTCTTGTTCCAAATAATATATATAAAAATAGAGGAAGAATTATTTGATGATGCAAATGCACTGACCTTGAAAATTAGTTGGCAATGAAAGAAGGCTAGAGTAAGATTGAAGGAGACAGAAGCTTTGACCTATTAGAGGGGGTGCTATATTATTGATTAGAGGTTTGAATATGGTTAAGAATAAATTGTTAGAAATAGAAGCTTTATTATAACTAGATAGCTAGGATTTGTAATCAGAATATTATATCTTGGTATGAAAAGGGAAATAAGAATATGTTATGAACTTTGAATAAGGGATTCTTTTGGTTGCCCAAATACAACTTGTTTAGAAATTAAAAATGATTGGGACACTTTGAACATGGATGGGAAACTAAAATTGAAAAAAAGCAAAAATAGGATATGGATTAAATAAATGGAAATTGAATGCAAATGCAATTAAGATATGTTTTGGTAGGAAATATATTTTAAACTGATATTATTGATATTATTAGGAAAATGTAACAAATGTTGATATGCAATTGTATGTTTACTAACAATAATAAGAATTGTATTTGCTTAATGTGGAAAAATTACCAGAAGAAAAGAGGATATATGGGCGGGTGTAATATTGGACTTAGTTGGAAAAACTTACATGTATTGCCAAATTACTAATGGACTCAGTCATCATATTGTCTATTGAGCATATGTTTGTGAAAATAGAAAATTAAAACATTTCTAAAACAAAGCAAAACCAAACACCACAGAACTGAAAGTAATACTCCATAATCATGCAACATAATAACGTACTATTGAATAAAAGAAGTTAGACTGAATTAAAGCCAAAGCAAATTGCTAAAAGATTATGTCATGTATTAAAGCATTTGGCCTCTTTCTATTGGCTTTAAAGTTGTAATATATTTAAAAACAATTGAAAAAATGTTTTGTAGGGTGTTTACACAGAAGCATGTTTTAATAAATAGATATGCCAAGATAATTTGAGGATTTAAAGAAAAGGAATAAAAATACTAAAGAGTCTCTTGACTATGATTACAAAATCTATTGGTATTTTTGTACAAAGACAGGTTTGCATAGTTCTGTTGATGAAGGCAGGATTGAGCACTGGATCTTCAGGCTCCTTCTTATAAGCCTGAAGGCCAGCTTTGACATATAGATTATTTACATTAGAGATCCCTCAAAAAGCAATTATTTTCTTTAATAAATCAGTTTGATAAACCAAGGCACATATATTTAACAGGTCTTCCCAAATTTTAGAAATCAAATATTTTAAAGTGGTGTTGATGTTCTGATATTAGCTTAAATTGCTATCTTGAGAATCAAGACTGTTGTAGCTGCCCCAAAGATAAGATGGTTGATGCTTATAAAGGAGATAGCCAGAAAATAACAGAATACAGTTTAGATTAAGAAGTTGAAAATGCATCTTAAAAGAAGATAATGGCAATTTATTTCCATATTCTTCCAAGAAATGTCAGGAGAGTATCTAGAAAATTATCAGGAGGTAAACATGACTTGAAAGAGACATTAACTTATCCTTATAGAAGCAAACTTGGATTTTAATGTGGCGTTCTTTCTTCACAAGTCTCTTGTACCCTGCTTAATCTGTGAAATTTAAATATTTGCAATAAAGTTATTTAAAACACATTTTAGGTATTTCCTCTCAATTTACTTATTTAATGGATTATTTCCCAAGTACAAAATTTTAATGTATCCTAAGATATATATTTTAATTTATCAATACCTTCTTTAATCTCAGAAGTGCATTACAAAATCTGGAATAAAAAGTGAAAGGGTAACTATTTTATGATCTGCAGTTACTCAAAGAATCATATTCTATTATGCAGACAGATCAATGTTCTTGAACATCCCTACCTGGAATAAAATGTTTCAATGTATCTTCAGAGAATGAACACACCGTATTTTCCGGCGTATAAGACAACTTTCTAAACCATGCAAATCTTCTCCAAAGTCGGGGATCGTCTTATACGCCGAGTCGTCTTACACACTGGAAAATATGGTATATAACATAGATTAGAGCCAATCACTGCTTTTCTTTGCTTCTCTCTGTATTTCCTTTCATTCTTGGTCTCAATGCACTGGAAAGCCCAAAGCATGTACATATTTTTAAAAATAATAGCAATGGTGGTTATGTCACAAACTTTTTTTGCCATGAGATCAGGCTTTATGGTTCTGAAAAAAATCCCCTCAATGCATTAACTGACTAGATCATGAGATCTAAGCCTACGTGTTTTTAATCAAATGGATGGCATAGCTAAAATAATCAGGATAAAGGAATCATATATGCCGTTTCATATAAAACATTAATGTGGATATCCTAAATTCTTTTGTGTTTTCTAAAAATGTAAGGTGAAGTTCTTGCCATTCATATTTAAGCGATAAATTTAGTTGTATTTTTGGAAAGTTATTTCTGAAAAATTGTTATGCAGCCCAATGGGCATTCTGTCCCTATTTGACAACCACAATCTCCTTACCAGAGATTTTAAAAGAAATTTTTATATATTTTTTCTGTTATTAAACAAACTTTTCTATCCTGTTGTTTCTAGTGCATATGAATCATTCATAATTCATTCATTTAAAAATTTTCAGGCACACTTCTTACAGAAAATAAAAATTTCTTCAAGTAGTTTTCTGGCAGCCATATGGAAACAATTTCTCACTGCTTTCTTGGATTGTTTCTCAGCTTCTACAGCCTTGGATTAGCTGGTGATTGCTCTCCAACTACCAACTACAAATGACCCTACTTAGATTTTAGGGATCAGCCAAGGTCAACTAGGAATTGCCACTAGCTAGTCATTTAAGCAATATCAGTGTTAGGATTAGCTGTTAGATTACTTTGGATGAACAGCAAATTTCAAAATGCCATACCAGAAATTGTATGTTATATTTTGTTTCATAAGGTACAACAGACTTCAACGAACCATCCAGGGTTTGTACTGGCTTTGTGCCATCCATTATTAAGGTTCAAATTTAACCACATCTTGGGCTTAGATGTCTAGAGTTAGCTAGAAGTTTTGGCTCAGATACAGGCAGTGATGAAAAACACATGAGCAATAACAAGTTTTCTTAGTGTCATTCTTCAGTGCTCAGATAGACTAATCCACAGAAGGAGTTTATTCAAGTATTACCCAGGGTGCCAGGAAGAAAAGGACCTTTAAAGGGATTTTTAACCCCTTTAAAATATTTACTGTTAATTTTATAATCTTAATCTTTTATAAATTATCAAGTGAAAATCATTTTCTTAGGTGGAACAATTTTTTAAGGGACTTGACAAATTTGCAAGGTAGGTGTTTTTTTTTTACCTTTTATTAATACATCAATGTTGTAATGAAGCAATATTCTTTTGTCATTATTAATGAGGTATTTTAAATATCATCAGTGTTTTACAGCACATATTAGAAAACAATGCACTATAATTTAACTGCTTTTATACTATGAACAAAAAAATATGTGTTTATTCAGAATTAAATCCTACTGAATTAAAGAGAACTTTCTGCCAAGCAAGTGAATTGCAGACTCGGTATTAGTATTTAGCCATATTTTCAGCAATTCACAATCTTCCCATCTTTTAGAGTTTCCTAAGGGATGAAAGAGAATGGAGGACTGTATAGAATGGCTCCCCTATTCTGTCAGCTGAGTCCTCTACTATATAAAAAACAGAAAAGTAGAAGTGGATTGAATTTCCTATAATTAGTATTTAGAAAGTCGCCATTAAGGTGAAGAAGTAATAGGTATTAGAAATCATTGTGTTAATTCATTATTCTGTTTGGACTCTTTGATTATATCGAACAGAATAGTTGCGTATCTGATGAAAACCATTTAGGCTGTAATTCTATAACACTTACCTAGGAGTGCCATTGAACTCAAATGGGCTTATTTCTAAATAAAGTAATGCTAGCAGAAATTCCTCACATTTCATGTATATTCAATGTCATTTGATTTTATAAAATTCTATGTCCAGAATACTCAGCACATATAAATATGTGGCTTCACAAATATTCATGCTTTTAAAGTAAGGGTATATGAATATGGCAAAACTAGGCAGGAAAGCATTCTGCCTTAAGCTCCATGCAGATGAAGTCACTAGCATTTCAAATCAAGCAGCCCAACTCTCTGATTTAATGTAATTAATAAAGTTAAATAACATTATTTCTGGCCATGCTGCTATCCTGAATCAAAGCACTTTCTAGTGATTTGCTTAGCAAAAATAAAATTTTCAGAAACTTTTATCCAGACAGCTAGTGAATTTAAATGGAATACTTTTTCTTATTATTGAGATTATTTATTTATTTATTTATTTATTTATTTATTTATTATATATTATTTAAATAAGAAATTATAACCAGGGCTTAGGTAAAGTTTAATATTATTCAAAATCACTAATGATTTTCTTCAAAACAGGGTTTTATTTCTTATAATCTTGACAGCCATTAATATTTGAATGGTATGTTGGATATAAAGGATCACTATACATGGCACAAGGCACATAGGCTACTATTTTATAATACTGAACATACATTTTGAGACAATTTAATAATAATCCTTTTTTTAAGTTAAGCAACCTGCTGCCTTTCAGTTATCTGGAAGTTGAACGGCCACAGTCAAGCACAAGAACTTAGATTAGACTAATTTACTCATGAGGAACCCATGCTTTCCTCTACCCCCTGCTAAATATGCAGTCATGGACAAACTTGAGATGGTATTAAACTTAAATATAAAAAGGATCTAATACAAATGAAAATATGTTAATATAGCAGTGTCTTCAGAGATTTGAAAGAGAAGAAGATGAGAATGTCACTATGGGTCAGAGAGGGTGCCAAGATAACATAGAAACAGTTGTTAAAAGTGGGAACTTGGGTCAGGCAACTTATATCACTGTAGATGTATCAGCCTTAAAACTGCCATAACAGTTTTTGCTGTTGTTACAACCATGATATGGCAGCAATCTTCCTTAACCAGTTAATTCTAAATAATGCAGTGTAGCAATATTACACTACATCCTTAGGAGGGAAGAGCAAAGACAGTTCATGAAAAGGTACTGAGAGTTTTAGTAGCTCACAGAATCCTTCCCCTCTCTACTTTCATTTTACTGGCTCAGAAAAATTCAGGGCTTCATTAGATAATTTAATACTTCCGAACAACAATGCAATGCATTTTTTTTTGGTCAGGAGCATAGATGTAGTATCCTGTAAAGCAATGAAAGAAATGCCTAGATCTAGCCATTATGCTGCTATTCTAAAACTGTCTTTTAAAATGCTATCAATATTTTAAGATATATATAGCCAGAATAGTTGAAAATTATTAGGCATCTGGAGTTTCACAAAATGCAGTTTTTATATAAGAACTCACATGTGCACCCTCGTACCTGCTTTAATTAGAAGGCCAAGCCAAATTACAGAGAACACAGAATTACATTGCTTATCAAGTTAGAGAAAATTTAATGTAATCTCTTTTGTTCCAACAATCAAACCGCTATACTACTATTTATTTTAAATAATTACATCTTAATTATTTATCACCTTAATTTAAAGCTCATATTCAGATTACTGAGAAATCATATGTATTGGACTATTATGCAATCATTTTATCTTTATCTGTTATGACTTGGATGAAGTATTTTCTGTTCTCCATGACTTTATTTAGCTGCATTTCTATATTGTCCAATAATGAAAACTCTCTAGTTTTGTACAAAATATCCAGGTTACATGCATCTTAGATCCCTGAAGGAACTAGCTGATGATCTAAGTACTTTAATCTATTAGCTTTTGATAAGTTATGTAGAATGGCAAAATGCCAGGTGACTGAAATAGACAAATATTCCTGTTTTGGAATATTTGGAGGGGGGAAGAAATGAAGAGAGATGGAAAAACTACAAACAAATCAATCTAACACCGATACTTGGAAAAATTATATGCTCTCTTTATGAGCAGTTCATAAAGAGATAGATCTATAAGTATTATAGAATTATATTCTGCCTTTGGTACCTGTAAACTAAACTATGTAAGTAGATGGTGTTCTGGGAGAATTGCTGGGGGGAATGATTATAGTTTACAACTGGGCCCCCGTTCAATTATCTTTCAGCTATGTGCTTCTTTATATACACAACAGACTGGACTCTGATTGGGATAGGAACTGCTCCAAGCTTTTCTAAGCTTTTGTAACTTAGTAGCCTTATTTCCCATTCAGATTTCTACAATATTTCATTTCTAAAGGCCAAACTGATCATTTTGGCAATACAGACTGTACTCTGTACTGTACTCTGCAACAATCAAATCCTTTTCATTTCAAAAGTTACGTTTCTAAGAGAATTTTAGTGTTCCATATAATTTGCAGATATAAAACATTTTAGCCACCTTAGTTTTCAAGTAAAATCTCAACAGATGAATTAATATTTACATTCTAGATATTTATGTGTGGCAATTTTATGTGTGAAATTACAAGATCAATAATGGTATTTTTCTGTTTGGTACTCATTGTATTTTATTTTAGGAGTCTGCATTCTACAAATATGAAGGAATATATACTTCTGCTTCTTGTGGCCTTAAGTTCTGCTAAGCCCTTCCAAAAGCCTTCATACTTCACCTTTAAGAATATAATGCTCATGGATATGGAAGATCTAGATGATGATGATGATGACAATGATGATGTTGATGATGATGATAAAGATGACAATTCCCTTTTTCCTACCAGAGCACCCTTGATACCAGTTGACATATTTCCAGTCTGTCCCTTTGGATGTCAATGCTATTTAAGAGTTGTCCACTGTTCTGATTTAGGTAAGGATAATTATCGTTGAAGCTACACCTATGCAGTACATTGATGATATAAAAATTTGAAATTAGCAGTTTTCTTCAGTTTCCTGAGAAGAAAGTCCAGAAATGTAATAATACTATTTCAATACCCATCTTAAGCTTTAAATATTCCCCCATCAATTGATCTTGAATATGAGCAATAATTGGCCTGTTGCCTTTAGGTGACCAATATGGGAAACTTCTTTTGCTACAGAACAATGTGGAGTTAACAAAAATGTCAATTGTGTAACACTCCAGAAAGCTAGTTTTGATGATTTGACTAAATTGTTTCTTTACCTGTGATGGAGTGCTTTATTTGTGGGAGAGCAGATTACTGATTTTCAGTTGTTAGTTCAAGATACGGAGTGGAATGAAAAAACAAAAAACCCTGACTGGCCAGTTTAAATGGGACAGATTCACTCATCACAGAACTCTAGCAACTTTATGTATTAATTAAAGTCTACTTGGGTATTGACAGGAGATTATGGCAGAGAGTGAATGGAGAAAAAGGCCCCACATAGTTGGCCAAAATTAAGAAAGCAAGAATTACACAGAATTCAGTTAGGTATTTTTAATGTTTACATACAGACTGTTGGATAATATGAGAGAAAATTTTCACTCATTGATACTGAGTTAAGAAAGATGAAATGCCTTTGAATTCTTTCTTGTCATCTGGATAAAGTTGCCATTTATAAGATAAGTTGACGTTTGTCTTAACTTCTATCTCTTGAGTATGTCTAATTTTCCATTCCTTTTACAGCCTCCCCAAAATCTCTCCTAGCACCAACATGCATAAGGTCTATGTATATATTATGGGAAATATTTGCATGGAAGTGCTCCCTTTCTGATAAAGCATCAGTTAAATGTTATAGTTGGCAGTGTGTTATAAGCAGATAACTCAAATATAAACAAGGAAATTATTCAGTCCCAGCCTTTGAGAATTCAGAGGCTAGAACACTCAGACTGTAAGACAAGCACACTTTACATTTTAATTACTTTTGTTACTCTGCAAATCCAGACCGGGCCTGAGTACAGCTGCAAGCCTTAATAGTTTCTGGTTATACAAGGAATTTAATGCTGCATATCAATAACGTCACTCATTCTGCAACTCCCCCCCCCACAAAAGCTGAAACTATTTATGACCAGCACTTACACACAGGGCCCATCAAAGAGTGCCATGATTCATCATATGCAACCATGAGGAATTTCTGAAACTTAAGCTAATTTTCCTGTTACATTTCCCAAGAAATTAGGGTTGGGCAAATTGCAAGCTCACAAGCCACATATTCACTGAAACCAAGGAACCATAACAGTTGATTTTCTATCATGCAAATTTCATAATGTGTAATGTTACCAGTCTCTTGCTCTCACCATCTTACAGCAAGAAGTCCTTTCTGCACTGTGTGCCAAATATGCCGAGTTTACTGATGTTGTTTAGGTAATAGAAGTACAGACTCTCCCCCACACCCCAATTCTGATTGCACTATGAATTTCCATAACAGATCACTACCCCAAGTCAAAGGGTGAATCCTGTAGCTAAAGAGAGTTGATTGATGAGTATTTGTAGAAAACCTTTACCTGCCTTGTTCCTCCTCATCAGTGCTCCTATATTTGTTAAGGAAAGCCAATGGCCCATGTTTAGTGACTCTTAAATTCTGTAGCCCATTAGGGATTGCCAACCTATTCCCCTAATTTCTAATGTCTTGGTGCATTTGCAGAAAGTTTGCATTGTTACTAAATTAAATCTCAGGTGCAATTTGACCAGTGCAACATACTGTAGAAGGGAACAGGAATTTTTCATAAAGTTGACATTATACTACCACTACCACTACTACTACTACTACTACTACTACTAAAGTTGGAAGGGACCTTGGAGGTCATCGAGTCCAGCCCCCTGCTCAGGCAGGAAACCCTACACCAATTCGGACAAATGGCTGTCCAGTCTCTTCTTAAAAATTTCCAGTGTTGGAGCATTCACCGCTTCTGGAGGCAGGTTGTTCCATTCCATCGTTCTAACTGTCAGGAAGTTTGTCCTTAGTTCTAGGTTGCTTCTCTCCTTGATTAGTTTCCATCTGTTGCTTTTTGTCCTGCCTTCAGATGCTTTGGAGAATAGCTTGACTCCCTCTTCTTTGTGGCAGCCCCTGAGATATTGGAACACTGCTATCATGTCCCCTCTCGTCCTTATCTTCATTAAACTAGACATACCCAATTCCAGCAACTGTTCCTCATATGTTTTAGCCTCCAGTCACCTAATCATCTTTGTTGCTCTTCTCTGTACTCTTTCTAGACTCTCAGCATCTTTTTTACATCGTGGTGACCCGTATTAAGGTAGCCCAAGATTACATTGGCTGTTTTGTACCTTTGCTTCTAGTCACATTGAAAATATAGTTGTTTTAACTTCAAAAATGACCCTCAAGACAAATCAGTCATCAACAGGCACATAGAAATCAACAACATTTATACACCATTTAAAAGAGATTATCAAAATCTAAAAAGGAAACAAACAGACCAAAACTCATTCTCACCAGCAATCAACACCCAGGGATTAGCACCAGGTTTAATACCAAGCTAACTATCTAGCAATAAATAATACCTTAATCAAGGAACTATAAACTCAGATAAACAGCTGTAAACAATAGCCAAATCAAGGAACTATCAAGAAGGAAACAATAGTTTGACCAACACTGACAGGGCAAGCCACTATATATAAACAGAGCAAACCCCAGTCCCTTCTAGCACTGACATTGTTACTAGTTGGATATTGAAACATCTGCAAGAAAACAACCAAGCTCAGAGATTACCAAGGCTCCACAGTTCAATCCTGATGTACAAACATTCTCTTTTATTTGAGAGGGCGGATATTTGGAATTCTTGGTGCAAAAGGGGCAATCTGGAGAATCAGATTCATTGGAAAGGATTGGAGAGATCCTGGAAAACGGCAGATGATGTCCATGCCCCTGTCTCTTTTGAACATTCCGTTTGCCATGCTCACATAAGCCCAGATCATATTCCATTTGCTACCTGTTATTCAACCTAACACTGATCGGGATTGGTCTGGGGAAAGACAGGAGGTGGCTGTGTGACAAATAGAAACTGCCCTGCACATAGTGAAAATTCAGAAGTTTTTTTTCTCAAGCTTACCAACATGCCACTAAACACTAATATTATGTGTCATATAATATGGATTTGTGTGTACAGATATAAGCCTGATATATTCTATTAGTTTTCAAAGAGCGTTTTAGGATTTCTCCAATTCCCCGATGGGTACTTTTGCTCAGTCCCAGGCAGTGAACCAGGCACTGGATACTACTGCCTCTGAGCAGCCTCTTTCTAGAGTCCAATCATGGCCGGCACTTTAGTTTACCAAAGTCAACTGGCAGGTGAAGTGCCACAAACAATATCTGGAAGATGCTGGAGGAAGTCCAGAATCTAACTCAGCATGAATATGTGCTTATGTTCAGGCCGATATTATGGTAATAAGAAAGGTGAAACATATTTACTTCTCCTCTTGGTATTACCTAGATTACCTGGATTGTGACTTGGATGGAGGAGGTATACCCGTCCTGGTTTTATCATGTTTCCCCGAAAATAAGACCTGGTCTTATTTTTCTTTTGCCTCCAAAAGAGGCACCAGTTCTTATTTTCAGGGGGGGGGGATATCTTTTCTACTAACCTCTGGCACTGACAGCCACGCTCAGCTGGCCCACTTCTTCTGCGGTCAAAGGAGCAGCTTCATTCTGCAGCTGAGAATGGAGCTCTGGCCTGCATTTCGCAGTCAGAGGGCTTTCCGGAGGGCCTCTGCAGCCAAGAACTGAGCTATGGATTCAATCCATAACTTGGTTCTTGGCTGCAGAGATCTTGCAGAACCGAGCTATGGAACTGGGTTGGCAAAGAGAGGCCTGGCTGCAAGGTAAGTGAGTGCGGGGCCCCACTTTTAGGTGTGTGTGTTGCCCCCAAAATTAGGGCTTATTTTTGGGGTAGGGCTTATATTAGGCCCACCCTCCAAAAATCAAGCTAGGGCTTACTTTCAGAGAAACATGATATTATATCTCAACAGCTTTTGATACCATCAACCATGGTTCCTTTTTGGGTTAAGGAGAATAATATTGTTTTAACCATCCTTCCTTAGTTGGTGGGAGAAGAGAGGTCCCAACGGCCCCCGATTTGTGGAACACAACAGGGTTTGTCTTGTCTCTACTGCTTTTTAACTTCTATATGAAGTTATTAGTAAAGTTATCTATTGTGAATAAAAAAGACATTATTCAACAGTTTAGAGATGGATATCTTCAATTTCCTGATGATACCAAATTGTATTTTGCCATCTGACTTGTGGGAGAGCTGTTATTAACCTTAACCGCTGTCTAGAGGTTGTCAAACAAACTGAAATTGAACCCTGCCAATTTGGGGTTACTTTTGATCCATCAAGGTCCTTTGTCATAGTTAGATGGGTAAGCACTACCTATGAGGGAGTAGGTTCACAACTTGGGACTGCTTCTGAACTCCAGAGTGGTCTATGCCCAGCTTCAGCAGCCATGCCAGTGGTTGGAGCAGAGATAGGACTAGCTACTGTAACTCATGCTCTTATCACCAAACAGTCAGACAATTGTAATGCACTCTGCTTGGGACTACATTTAAAGAAACTACAATTAGTCCAAAATGAAGAAGCATTGGGAGCATGGTACGGATCCCACACTGTTTGCCAATTGGGTCCCATTTAAGGTGCTGGAAGTTGATTTATAAAGCCCTTTATAGCTTAGCACCTAGGTACCTTCAAGACTGCCTACTCCTGTAACTATCATGCTGACCAATTGGAGCTACTAGAATGAAACTAATGCAGTTGTATACTTTCAAGAGGCTTGGCCATAATGCTTCTTTGTAGAGAGCCAACACTGTGGAACAGCCTGACCATGGTAAAAAGAATGGCTCTCTCCTTGTTGGCCTTTTGGAACCTCTTGAAGACCAAATTGTTTCAGACAACTTTCCCCTGATGTGAATGTTGCCATCTTTATTTCATTTGTATTTTTTAACGTTTTTATGGCTACTGTGGATGTTTTAATCTGTATGCATTCTATAAAAGGCACCAAGAGTCTCCTTCCATTGCAAAGCACAGAAATATTTTTAATAAATAAATATTCATATTCATATTTTATTCTTCTTCTTATAAATAGGCTTGACTTCTGTACCAAGGAATATTCCATTAGATACTCGTATGATAGATCTTCAAAACAACAAAATAAAAGAGATCAAGGAAAATGATTTTAAAGGACTTTCATTCCTATATGTAAGCTTATTTTCTGAATTTCCTCTCAGGATGCTTCATTTTGTCTGTCTGTCTGTCTATCTATCCATCCATGTATGTGTATTTGCTGAGGAACAGCATAAAATAATATAAATTGATGTTCAAAGAGATAAAGATAATTCTTTTGGAAAATCAGTAATTTGATCCATACTAATAACATTTTCAAAATTGATTAATGTGTGATCATTTTATTAATCTATAGTGAAAACAAAAGAGAAAATTTTATGTGTAATATTAGAATTTAATTTAATTTAATTTGGGAAGTCTTTAGTGACTTCCTTTCCATGTTATTTGTGCTTTCTTCAAATCATACATAAACAATTTCATGTTGGAGCTTTATGGCTTGCAAAAGTTTGAATACTTTAAAAAAACAAAAATAATATATTTTCATTTAAAGAATATCATAGTATCCTTTTAAGCGAGAGCTTTAAAATAAAATCAGTGCCTAACGTTAAGCTCATATTTTGATTAGGCCCTTGCCTTGAACAACAACAAAATAACAAAGATCCATCCTAAAGCATTCCAATCAACAAAGAAGCTGCGGCGTCTCTACTTGTCCCACAATCATTTAACTCAGATCCCAGAAAATCTGCCAAGAAGTTTAGCTGAGATAAGAATTCATGACAACAAAGTTAAAAAGATTCATAAAGACATATTTAAGGGAATGAATTCTTTACATGTTTTAGGTAAGTGTATCATTTTTTATAAATCTTTTGCATAATAGTGTGGGGGGAGGTTACTTTGTGAACCCCCCAGAATCATAAGGAGATGGGCAGGGAAATAAATAAATAAATAAATTATTAGATGAGAAACTTAGAACGAACAAACTAAACTGTAAGAGAGGTAATGCTTGTTGGTGGATAGCAAGAGAACTGTCTGCATGCTGAAGAGGGAAATTTATATATTTATACAAATTTTTAAATATGTGATACCTATGACAAAGGTATTTATATCATTCAGACCACCAACATAATAAAAAATGTTGGCTTCATTATAATATTCTCAGTAACACGCTAAAAGCTTCATTTCTTGGGGATAGATAGATAGATAGATAGATAGATAGATAGATAGATAGATAGATAGATAGATAGATAGATATTCTTTTGACAGCGGGCATCAGAATTTCATTTTTCCCAGGTTCAAATTATCATGCAAAGATTTGTTTACAATCTTTATGACATTTTTTGTGGAAAGCCAAAATGTCATTACTAGGACAGAAGAGTTATAGAATTCTGATACATGAATTGTAATTGAGTAAAATAATCACACAAAGCTAAGGTAGACCACGACATCATACAGCATAAATGTGGACAGAAACCAACAGTTATGTAACATTACAATGGCAAATCTTGCTTCCTTATTTCAAATTTTCTAAAAACCTCTTTTGTGAAATAATGTTCTATTTTGTAAGATTGTCTAGGTTTAATAATTTTATGAGATTGAGGTTTGTAATTTTTATTTAAAGATGAATAGGAATATTGAGCTTCTTCTATCATCAAAACAATGTGACCTTGGGACAAAAGAAAGCAAACAAATTAATCTACTTCAAATATCATAACAAAGCCACACTTCAAGGTTTGGGAGCTTAATGTGATGTACGTAATTTATAGTCTGCTTGCCATGATTTCTATTTTTTGAGGTCACATTAAGCCAAAAATAAATGAAACACTCATACAAAAAAGTTCTCCTTTAAAATAATGAATGCTTATCTTCTTCTAGTTCAAACTTCACAAAAAAAACATAGGTTCTTATTTTTCTGTGTTGCATAGTTTAAAAAAAATAGCTACCTCCTGGAATTGAGAGAAAACAAATAATCAGTTGTTTACTGGAACTGAATATGTGGAAAGACCTTGTTTGGTAATAGCCTATATAGAAACAGGCTTGAGAGTCTAACTCATTGTGTGGTTCTGTCTTTAGCAAATATTTTTATTGGTATATGTATGAGATGCATGATTTTAGTTTATCATATGTATGTTCCTCCAGAAATGAATCTGTTCATGAATTTATGCTATATGACACAACTTACTTTATAAATTAGAGGTATTAGGAAGTTTCCTACATCTTCTTATAAAGCCATTCCCTTTATTCATATAAAGTTTAACAGATTATAAGGAATAAATCACTGTACTCTTTTACTGGAACTATAAAAATCCTGATGGGGTGGTGGGGGGATTTGAAAATCTCCTGTACTGTATTACTCCAACCAATAGAATGTGCTCTCTTTTGACAGAAATGAGTGCAAATCCTCTTGATAATGATGGGATAGAACCTGGGGCTTTTGAAGGTGTGACAATCTATCATATAAGGATAGCAGAAGCAAAATTAACATCTATACCAAAAGGTACAATGTATTTGGCTTTAAAAAAATATAATTAACTTCTTAAATAAACTATATTTTAAATTCGATATTAATATGCATTTCAGTTAAAATAACTATAACTAACTTGTGTAATGACATATTGTAAGAATTCAATAATTTCTGAAAATGGAATCCAGAAGCTTGGGAGCACATCAATTCCATTCTTGGAAAGAAAAAAAATACCTATACAACTAAGCGTACACTAAAAGAAACAAACCACCAATCCAAATTTACAGAAAATCATTCTCCAATGGTTGAGGATGTAGCTATGCAATACTTGCAATCAAGGCAAATAAATAAGCTGTACAATTTATCTGTCTGATAGAATTAAAGGGAAGCATATTGTTTTATGCTAGAACCTAATCCAGAAATAACACTTGTTAGAGCTGGAGACAACATTTAGGTACGCCAAATAACAAGTTATTTGTTAAATTGACCATCTTAAACTTGCAAATTACTGATATGTGCCACAAGGAGAAACATAGTCCATACCTGTTTAGAATCTATCATTCCTATTCAAGTAGTACTCTCCTTTTGAGATGTACACCAACAAATTGCATTTGATAGGAAAGCCAGAGCCAAGTGACTTTCTAAGCATCAATATCTATGGTCAATAAAAAGATTTCATGAGAGCAGCAATTAAACAAAGTATGGTTCCTAATCCACATAACCATTAAACTGGCAAATCACTATGAGATTACCTTATTTTCAAAGACCTTTCAGGAACATCAAAGTCTGAAAAATGTAGCATTCTGTCAAATGGTTAAAATAATAATAATAATAATAATAATAATAATAATAATAATAATAAATTCCAAGACCTCAGAAATACTTATTTCCCCATTTCAGCAAATATTTTTCTTTTTAATTAAATAATCAATTGTAAAAACATGCCATGTTTTCATAACAACTCAAGAAAAGAAAACTGCTAGTGGATGAACTGTAAATTCAATGGTGAAAAAAGTAAGGTTCTACATTTAGGCAAGAAAAACCAAAAATGTACACATATAGTATAGGTGGTACCTTGCTCAACAGTGGTAACTGTGAGAGGGACCTCAGAATCCTAGTGGACAATCACTTAAATATGAGCCAGCAGTGTGCTGCAGCTGCCAAAAAAATCAACAGAGTGCTAGGCTGCATTAACAGAGGGATAACAACCTGCCTCAAAAAATTATGAATGCTCCAAAAATGGAAGTTTTTAAGAAGAGACTGGACAGCCATTTGTCTGAAATGGTACAGGGTTTCCTGCCTCAGCAGGGGGTTCAACTAGATGACCTCCAAGGTCCCTTCCAACTTTATTATTATTACTAGCTGTACCTGGCAACGCGTTGCTGTGGCTCAGTCTGGTTAAATGGAAAAGAAAGAAAAGAGAAAGCGCACGTAGCATGTTGCTTTTACGTCCAACAGATGGTGCTGTTTTTGAAAAAAAGCATGTTTTACCTGTCACAAGTGTGACTTCTATATAATATAGGTATATAAAAATACACGCATATTCAAATGCATCGTTGTGTCAAAATTTCAAAGCAATCGGTGAAGAACTTTCAGAGATTTAAGATTTTCAACAAACAAACATTTACATTTTTATTTATATAGATGATGATGATGATGATTATCATCATCATCATCTTTGCATCCAATCCTAGGGTCTTAAGTGCTAAAATATAAGCATATAATATACATATTTATTAAAATGTCTATTTTCATCATATGCTTTGTGACTTTATCCTATTAAATATGTTGAGAATTGCAGGGAAAAGTGTTCAATAACTTTTGACATTACCTAAGCTTCTAATTTCAAGATGAGCTGAAAACTCTGTAAGTTGAAGTTTATGTATCTGCAAGTTCTCAAGGGCAATAAATTGATATATTCAAAGTTATAGTGCAGCCCTATATATAAACACTCAAGAAATCTCAATGAGCCATAGATGCACAAGTCTATTCACTTCAAAGGGTTAATTTCCTCATCTGTGTAACAAATTAAATTACTGTATTTTGGGTAATTTGCAAACAAATCTCAAAGACCAGCATGTATTAGTGACTAATTTATGAATCTAATAAACAGAAATGCACATACTTAAATTAGAAAAATAAAGGTAGAATTGGAAACCAACAAGAAGAAACTGTTTTTTGGCATTTCATAATAATGCTGCCAAGATGAAATCACTGGAGAGCTAATATTTTCCTAGACCATAATGGAAACCAAAGGCATGCTTTAGATCATAGTGTAACATAGAAAACAGATACATGACTATAATAAGCAGTATCATTTTAAAGCTTAATTTAATGCCTCCATCTCTTTAATTTTATGTGGTGGGACGTTTGTTAGTTTTAAGATGCCACAAGATTTTTGTTGTGCATATTGGCCAACAGATCTAAAATAACAAATGTGCCTTATATTTAATTTGGAAAACTATTTCTCAGATCAACATGAGGCTAGCACAAAAATACTGATACACTTACCATTTTCCATAAGCTATGCAGATTTGGGTTTGGTTCTGCACAACCTGTGCATTTTTAGCAGTCATAAAAATTGTTACTACAATTTCCTTTGAAATAGTCAGAACAAATGACAACATCCCAAAGGTGCTTTTTTCAGGAGGCAACTGAACTTTTTTGTTTTTCTTTGAAGATGTTTAGCTTCTCATTCAAGAAGCTTCTTCAGCCCTGACTAGATGGTGGGGAATGGAAGGATTTATACGTCTTGCAGATAGCCGGTCATTTGCATTCTTTAAGAGAGTCATTGAAGCCATTTGGAGGTTTACCTATGTCCTCAGGGTCACCTGAGTGGTGCAAATGTGTGTGGAGGCTTCTTGGCTGCAGGATGTTTTCTGCCCTGTGCCCCTTCACTGTTGAAGAAAGAGCAGGCTATTGGAGATGAGTCTGAGTTGTCTGCATCTCAAACTGAAGCATAAATGGTTCCTGCAGTCTGCAATGTTTTCTGGAAATCCATTCATACTCCCTTACCATTTGAAGGGTATTCAGCCCATAAATGTCTATGGAGATTCTCAGTCATCCAGGTCCTGGTTGTCCCAAAGGGGCTTCCCAAAGCATGACCTGGATGACTGAGAATCTCCATAGACATAAATGGCAATATTTTTCTCAAATGTAACTAGGGAAGAACTGCTAACAAACTGCACTCAATTTACAGATCTATTTCCCAGATTTTAGGACGTACTAATTCAGGGGTAGGCAACCTCGGCTCTTTTATGACTCATGGACTTCAACTCCCAGCTATGCTGGCTCAGGAATTCTGGGAGTTGAAGTCCACGAGTCATAAAAGAGCCGAAGTTGCCTACTCCTGTACTAGTTGAAACCTGAACATGCAAGCTTTATCATGAAAATAAAGAAGTAGACTTTCTGTGAATTAAATACAATTAATAAACTGTTAACGGAGGGCTTTGAAGTTTAAATCTGCTCTTGGTTTTACCTGTTAGCTATGCTTTTTTCTATGCAGTACATAGATGTCAGGCCACGTTGGTCAGGTAAACAGTGGTGTAGAAATGTATAAATTGCTTTGCAAGGGGGGATATTATTTCTGAAATATATTTATCAGTATTTACCAAGGCAGTCACTTTATGTATATATTTGTTTGTTTGTTTACGCACAATTTTTCTGTTTGTGTAATCTTGTCTAGTTTTGTTTTACTTTTTTATTTCTTCTTCTTTTTCCCCATTTTTGGAGTTTGTGTTTTAAAGCTTTGAATAAAAATGAAAAAAAAATTGAAATTAAAAAAAAAGAAAATAAAGAAATAAGTAGGTCAATAGTTTATTATGGCATAAGATGATATTCTAAATTGACATGCAGTGGGACACCTACACATATGTGATGTCATGATCTTCCTTCTTGTGAATGAAACAACCCAGAGGATATGGTCCTGTTCCAATTCAGCAGTATATGCAATTTTAATTCCTGAACTATGTGTTTGAACAAGATAAGCCTCATTGCTCATCGTGACTGTGCATTCCTAAAATAATTATAGCTGCCATAAAATATTTGATATTACCTTGATCTCCATATATCTAATATATTAACGCTTAATTTTTAATGTTTAACTTATCAAGATACATATTTCCACTTTTAATAGGGCTACCATCCAGTCTACTGGAACTTCACCTAGATGACAACAAAATATCTGCAATTGAATTTGAAGATTTCATTCGATATAAAAATCTTCAGAGGTAGAACTTAAGCTTTGAATGCATTGCCACTAGTATGCTGATAACATTTAGCACTGCTGATCTCGTCTGTAGATGTGGTAAAGAGAAAGCAGTCAATTTCTGACTGTTCCTTAGGCTCAGTAAGGGAACAATTAGAGATGAAATCGTCATAGCCAGAGATGCTGTTGCTGTGTGGAAAACCAGAGGACAGCTTATTCTAGGATGGGGTTGCATCACCTGTTAAAGGGCACTTGCCCAACTATTTCTAATGCAAACTGCAACTTTTCTTATGTTCTGGTTTGATCATGGTAAACCAATTCCTGTTTGTCCCACACAGAGTTGGTTACAAAGACAAAACACAGAAGGAAGACAACAGCAACAGAGTATACAAAATTAATTGCAACAATTGTAACCAATTCTATGTAGGGCAAACAGGAAGGCAATTGAAAACAAGGGTTCATGAACATCAACTAGCAATTAAAAGGCACAATCAAAAATCCCTGAACTCAAACCACATTGATAATAAACAACACCAGTTTGATTGGAAAGGAACAAAAATCATTGGTCATGCCAACACCCGCCACACACATGAATTTACTAAAGCCTGGTATTCTACCAAAGAAGCAATTAACAAGCATATTGCTCTAGATCCAGCATATGGATATGTAAGAAACCAGACCATTCAACCTACCAATCAACAAGAGACCCAATCAGGCTGCTCAGAATTTAAATATAGCTCCAAACGAACAACCAACCACATGACCAACTGACCCCACTGGTACACAAGACATTTGTAAGCTAAGGCAAATTGGACAAGAAAATCCTCCTGATGATGTTATCTAGTATGCTAATGAAATGTTCAGAAACTAAATTGAAACAAGCTTGGACAGCAAACCACTTGCCAAAATCTAAAACCCGAACTACAAGTATTTTCTATTATTTCAGTGACTTGGGACTTAACATCAACTGACCAATATCAACGTTATCATGTTTAACATTAATATCAGCAGAAAGACAAACTGTTTTAGAAGCTTCCCAATGGAGATATAAGAGAAAGCTTTTTCCTGCTTTGCTCCCTACCAAGGGAATACATTTAGCCTTCAGGAAAGGATTTAACAGCTGTGTGCCTTATGGATAGAAAAGCAGGGCAGCTAAATAGTAAAGTTTAAAAATTGTTGACACTATAATAATAGTATTATTATAATATTACACCGGGGTTAGGCAACCTCGGCTCTTCTACGACTCATGGAGTTAAAGTCTATACTATACTATAATAATTCAATATTTTGTAACAATAATTCCTTAACATTATATTCTTATTAAGAACACTTCCAATAACATCTATTCCTTGGAGGCCTCCTGTTTCTCTTTGATTTATATAAATACATTTCTACATTATACTGTATTGTTGAAGCCAATTTCTTTTTTTTCTTTGAACCTAAGAGGGGTCAGGAAGAATTTTTTTTTTCTGAAGCAGGTTAGATCTTGTGACCTCTGTTTCTAAATAGATATATTGGGCAGTTTTGGCTATGTCTATAAATAACAGATGGAGAGAATGAAGTCAAACAGAATACCCTTCAAGACACTTGGGAAAAAAAAGATATATTGTATAATGTATCCACTATGGATACATTAGGTTAAATTGTGTTAAAAGAGGTAAGATAACTTTAAAGGAATGTAATAGGTGCTAGAAGAATGTTAACGAAAAGATGCAAGTTATATTTAACAATACTCTGACAGCCCAATAGAATATTGGAAAGAAAACAGTTCTGAGAATAAAATACACTGTTTTAACTGGTTTATATAGTTTTCAAGTTTTATTATAAAATATATTGCTATTTCAATTTTTTATTTACCACTAGGTTGGGGTTGGGAAGCAACAAAATCAAAGATGTGGAAAATGGAAGTTTTGCTAATATACCAAATGTTAGAGAAATCCATCTAGAAAAGAACAAACTGAAAAAAGTACCTTCTGGTCTTCCAGAACTAAAATATCTACAGGTAATATACAACTTAATAGGCTTTCCACCCCCCTTGCTCTTACTGAGATAGTTGTCAAATTCTTAACAATATCCATGGCTAGCACAAGTCAGCCAGTATCTTGTTTTCATTACTAATTGTTTCAATTCTGTACTAAATACTTCTACATTTTGTATTTGTACTGTATTTATCTGGGGCTATTAACCTACTAACCCTATCTGGCAAATACCAAACTTGTGATTTAAACATATTGTATGGTAGCTTTTTTCGGTTTTGGCTTGAACTTCGGCGGACACATTTAGCCATGGCCAAGTCCAAGAACCATACCACCCACAATCAATCTCGCAAATGGCACAGAAACGGCATTAAGAAACCCAGGTCACATAGATATAAATCTCTCAAGGGGGATGGATCCCAAATTCCTGAGGAATATGCGCTTTACAAAGAAACACAACAAGAAAGGGCTGAAAAAACGCAGGCTAATAATGCTAAAAACGCTAAATAACCATCCTGCCTCTCTATGGCGAAGGGAACTACCTTGCTTAGTAATTGGGTGACCATTTTTCCATGTACCGTTTCACTCAAAAGTATTTTATATTAATAAAAATGAGTGTAATATTGTATGGTAATTACTGAGATTTCTTTTTATCTTCTCATAGGTTGTCTTTCTTCACTCAAATAGTATTTCAAGTGTGGGAGTGAATGATTTTTGTCCAACAGAAGGAAGGCTGAAGAAAACATTATATAATGGCATAAGCTTATTCAAGAATCCTGTCAAATACTGGGATATTCAACCAGCAACCTTTCGTTGTGTGCTAAATAGAAACAGTGTGCAGATTGCAAATTATGGAAAATAAAATAGTACAGGCAAAGTATTATTGAAATACTATTATTAAAACCAACATCACAAAACTTGAAACTGTAAAAACTGTAAATTATACTGCCCAGTTTCATTACAAAATACTTATAAGGTTTAATAAATTAAAAACATAACATTCCATTAAATTCCTTCCATTTATTTTTCTATATTTTTAATTTGTGTAATTTAGGAATCTTTCTAGAATAAATGGTTTCTTAGCACAAAATTGGGTTGTTTTGTTCACTGAGATCCACGCTACTATGTCTTTTTTTTTGCAGAAGAAAATATTAAGTTTTAAAATAATTTTCAGGGGATTAAATAAATAGTTATGTATTGGAAAGAACTCCTGTTTAAATATTTATCATAGCTCAAGAGGAAAAATTTGAACATTTAACAAAACTAAACTAAACTGCCCTTAAAAAGCTCTATAGGACATGAGTCCCCAACCTAAGGGTCGCAGCCCCGTTTGGACATGCACACGGAAGCAAAAGGGGACACTAGCGCAGGTGTCTGTGGCCTTTTGCGCATATGTGAATGGAACTGCTAGCCACCATGGGGGGTGCGCGGCTGTTCAAGCATGTGCATGGTGCCAGGGCATGTGCAAACGGGGTTGCTAGTGCTACGCCAGTGTGTGTGGCCCCATGCACGTGCACCAATTTTGAAGCTGCTTTCCTTCCCTCCAGTCCATGAGCCCGGAAAGGTTGGAAAGCTCTGCTATAGGACACTTTATTATTAGTTTGATAATCTAATCCATTATGACCCTAGATAATATTTAAAGATTTGTGCTAAAACTGAAAGACAAACTCAGTTATGAAGCCCTTTAGCCTCAAAGGTTTTAATATTTATTCATGTGGATGTCTTGGACGAATATACCACTTTTATAACAAAAACATATATATCCTGAATATTAACCATGCAGAAATACATTTTAAAAAGAAATGAATATATTCTCTGCACTGAGAGCACAAATACACAATCTTGCATTTCCTGTATGGGTTAGTCCAGTTAGGATGGAATTTTAAGATCTGAGATTAGAAAAGTATTTTATTTTGTGGTAAAATATTTTAGGCATATGGGGATCTCAGTCATGTGCATAAAGAGGAGAGAGACACAGACAGAGAGAAGTTAATGTATGCAGAGAGTCAATGACACTCACAGACTATTATACCTATAAATAGACCCATTTAAATGAATTGAAAATTTAGTTAAAATAATTTATTTTCCCATAAGCTGTTATAAATATTCTGGCTAGCCTTTCCTTTACATGTGAGATAAATAGATAAACAGTTTTAAAGACATAAAACACTAACACAAATTAATACAGAATAAAGAAAACAAACAAAGAAAAAGAGAAAAAAGCCTTTCACTTGTGTTTTCACTTGATGTAGTAGACAATGTACTTTGAATGACTAATTTAAGACCACTTTTTAACTTGTCTTTATTGTATTATGAAAACTGGATCTAATTCTTGTATATTACTGCTTTGTACTGTAACTTTGCTTTACTCCAACCTGCATGTACTGTATACAAAATATTTTGTTATGGTTGGTTAACTGACGATAGTACTGTGTGAAAATATGTATCTACTTCTATATTTAATGTATATGTATTGTTCATTTAAGTTAAGAGAACAGAAAAACGCTCAGTTGTTTTATTAAACATACTGAATTGAAATTTTGTACTACTGTGGTGCTACTGCTTCTGTTTTAGAGTGATATTCACAGTATAAATCTACACATAAATTTGAATCTTCGTACTTTGATAGGGGGAACCTACTTTCAGTGGATTTTCTATTTTACTTGTGACTCATTAAAAATTCTGTTCAGGAGGCTGGGGTCAATGTACGTAGAAAAGAAGAAGATAATATTAGAAGTTTCAGAAGGGAGAGAAAAATGTGAAAAGTGGACCTCCACCCATAGAGGAAAATTATTATTAACTTTACTGTCTGTTTTTTTATAATATTTATTCAGTTCAAACAAGTTCACTAGGTGTCAGAATCCAATTATATTTCATCTCTAGTTATCGACTATGGAAAACCCTATTTCTGCCCTCTCTGGAATCTGTCATACGATGAAGGGGAAGGGGGGTGAACAAAGGAGTTTTATGGCGCTCACTTCCTTCGGTACAACTTCAAAGGGATTGAATGTGGATACCACCAAAAGGACTAAATCATAACAATGGGGCCATCAGCTTTCATCTACTCCTCTCTGAAGTCTCCCTTTCACCGGCAATGAGGAAAAGGGGGTGGAAATGTAACGCCTGGGATTGTCGCTGGAAAGATGGTGGGGTGGGGCGGTTGGGGACCCCTTAAAACCTTGAACCATAGGGCTTGGGCCCCAGGTCCTGTCTAGAATGCCTGCAACCATTTTCTCTTAATAAAGGATGCCTGTTGGAAGAAATATTCCAAGAGTTCTGTCTTCTTAAGATGCAAAGTGGGGTGGGTCCTTACACTAGGTCTACATTCCTAATAAGAATTACTAAGATAATTAAGGTTGTTTCATTAATTAAAACAATGCTTAAGAATACATAAAGAAGAAAGCAAAGCTACATACCTCCTCCTATATTTTACATATGCTCTATAAGAGTAGAAGAATTGTAAAAAAAAAATGCTGGCAGTTGAAATACTGATATGCAGATGAGTTCATTGCAAAAGTGAACATAGAAAATGAAAAATTTGGGATAAAATAACTACTAATAAAAGTAAAGTTTTAGTGAGTTTGCACAAGAATAAATAAATACGAGCAGTGTATTTGGAAAAACAAAGAAGAGAGTGATGCAAGGGAGGAAAATTATGATAAACTTCCACTCAATTGTGAAGGATGACGACACTTCAGTGAAAAGAAAGATCAAATATTTAAAAAGATAGTCTGGGTATAGAGAAAAAAGACAAGCAGATAAGTAGGAGTTACAGACCTAGATATTTTTTACCATGGACTGTTATTGTTGTTCAGTCGCTAAGTGGTGTCTGACTCTTCGTGACCCCATGAACCATAGAATGCAAAGCCTCCCCCCCTCTGTCCTCCACTGTCACCTGGAGTTAGCCCAAATTTTGAACTGTAAGAAATTCCAATTAATCATTCTGCACCATATAAAGTTTGACTAAATTTCTGAGGCACTGATCAGCAAACAGATGCTCACGCAATTTGGACATGTAACGTATTTCCATATAATTTCCTTTGTCTATTGACCTGATCTCTTCTACTCCTTCTACTTCCATTTTCAGACTTCCCATTCTTTTGACACTGGGCATTCTCTTTGTCATTAAAACATGTGTCACATTACTCTTCAGAATGCTACAAACACACATCTCTATCTGTTGCCTCTTCATCATTTTGGTATAAATACAAAATTCATACCCTAATCACTTCCTAAGCTGATTGTAGCTAGACAATTCACATTTTGTTATTCTATTCTGAATTAAACTAATCTAAGTTGGAAAGCGTTATTTTTGGACATTGTGTTTAAATTCCTGCTGAGAACAAGAATCCAAATTAAAGCATTCCAGACAGAAGGCTAGCTCTGTGTAAACATATCAGATGAAAGTGAATTGAACACCTGTGTAATTGGTTCCATGGTTCAATTGATCCTAATAATTCTCCTTAAATTCTTAAACTAATTTCTTTATTTGCTCCAGTTTCCAATGAAACTGTACACTTGTTTTTCTTGTCACACGATTAATTTATTATTGCATTATAGCCCTTTAAGGTTCTGTTTCTACTTTATTCTTGGATGTATTAAAAACAGTCATGTGTAATAGCTATAAGACTTAAATGGAATCTAAAGTTTTAAATGTGGTATTCCTCATTTGTGGAATTTAATTAATATTAGTGCTATATAAATTATTTTATATTATAGCTTTAAAATATATTTAAAAATTCTGTATGTTCTTACTCCTGCAAAACTTTGATTCTTAGTAAAATCAAGAATCTTAATGCAATTCAATGCTTATATTTTAATTATACTCACGTCTGTCTGTATGTCTGTCTGTCTGTCTGTCTGTCTGTCTATCTATCTATCTATCTATCTATCTATCTATCTATCTATCTATCTATCTATCTATCTATCTATCTATCTATTTTCCATCCATCCATCCAATTTACATGCTTGCCCATCTCAACTCTGGGCGGCAAACTGAATTAAAAAAAAAACAGCAACAAACATTATAAAAATTAAAAATATAGGCAGCTAAGAAGTAACAACTGAAATTGCTAACACAGTAAAGAAGTTGGTCCCTGGACTCATCTGGGGCCCAAGTCCAGGCATAGAACCTGATCTTTAGGTAGGGCCTTATGAAAGATCAACAGAGTTGGGGACATCCTGATCTTTAGAGGGAGAATTTTGTGTAAGATGGATGCTACAGCAGAAAAGGCATGTCTTCTAGGCCCCACAAACTGGCCACTGGGACCTGAAGCACTCCCATCCTCTCTGATTAGATTGGATGGTGTCCTGTCCCAGTTCACATAACTAATGCTCGAGAAGTATTTAAAATGTTTATTTCACAACTAAACCCTTTAAAACATTTCCCAAGAACCCTCAGTCAGTTTCCTCACAATCCCAAGGCTCAAGGCAGCAACTTCGGTGACCAGATGCCTTCCTGACTGAAAACTGAGGCTTGCCAGCAGGACTTGGCTAAGAATAGCAGCCCAACATCAAAGACATGGGCAACAAGGGCAAAATGGCTACTCCCCAAATAGTAAGGCTTGAGCATAGAATGGAGAAATGCCCAAGCACACGGCCAACACACTTGACAGGCTGTCAATAATTCAGCTTGACCAGTCCAGAATTACAATGGGCTAGAGTTAGCCTAATTACAAAAATCCAATTCATGCACAAAATCCAGGAGCAAGATTGAAGTAATGAAGCCTTCCTTGAACCTGAATCAAGTCAGAGGAATGAAGCAAAGAGCCAGAAATGCTACAGCAAAGAAAAACAAATGACAACTAACTGCCTCACTCTAGTCCCTTAAATCTCTCCACCTGATGCTTCTTATTAGGAGGGTTGAAGCTGCTTTCTCGCAAGTAGACTCGCTGATCTCAGCTATGCCTCATGGCACTCTGCTCTCCTCGTCCATGAATCGGGTAGGGGAGGCAGTTGTTCCTCATCGGAATAGACTGGCTGCTGCTGTGCCTCACTGCCCTCTCCCTCTTCTACTTGCGTGGGTGGCTGCTTATCCAGATGATCACATACACCAGTGACCCCAAACCTTTTGGGCACCAGGGACCGGTTTCATGGAGAAATTTTTTTCTGTGGACTGGAGAGGGAGTGGTTTTGCATGCTGCCTGCATCCTGCAGATGGGGCTTTGTTTCTGGTTGCCAGCATGTTGTGGACCGGTGTCAGTCCATGGACAGGGGGCTGGGGACCCTGGGATACACCATTTCCCAAAGTTCCTGGGACTGTATCCTACCCCATAAAACTTCCACGGTCTCTAGACACTCCACATTACTCCCTTCTGATGGCCCCAGCTCCGGATCATCCTCTTCATCGGAGCTGGCCTCCAGTGGGGCCATAACAGAGAGATAGACCTTCAGGTAAGCTGCACAGAGTTGCTTCAAAGTGAGATGGGCAGCAAACAAATTTCATAGATAAATAAGCAAACAAACAAAACTAGTTCTAATATGTGAAGACACGAGCAAAAATTCAAGCATCTTGAACTGCACCTAGAAGCACAATGGCAACCAATGGAGAGTCATGGTGTTATATGTACCAAGTAACCAGCACCATTTACTACCTGTGCTGCCCATTTTGCACCAATTGAAACTTTGAAATACTCTTCAAGGACAAGGGCAGTCACATGCAGATGTTGTTGCAGTTGTCCAGACGAGAAATCATAAGGGCATGAGTGACAGTGAGCAAAGCCCCTAATGGGCACAAGTGGTGCACAACCCAAAGATGTGCAAAGGCTCTCCTAGCTAGGCTGCGACTTACCCTTTGAACAGGAGCCATGAGTCCAAAAGGATCCATAGATTATGCACCAGATCTGTCTGAGGCAGTTCCACCCAATTCAAGAAGAATGACAGAAAGTCCCCAGCACCAAAGGATCCCAACACTCAAAGCCACACAGTTCTTGCTTTGGTTAAGCAAAGCCTGTTGCTCACAGCCTCCAGACACTGGGATAGGACTGCCATGGCATCACTCAGGTAGCCTTGTGTGGAAGTATAAAGTTGGGTACATCAGCATATTGATGATACTTCTCCTCAAACTGCTGATGACTTTACCCAATAATCTTATGTAGGTGTTAAACAGGAAAAGGGGAAAAAAAACTAAACCTTGTGGCATCCCACAAAGAAGGCATTGATGACTGGTCCAAGCTCCCCCCCCCCCAATCAACACTGACTGGAATCAGCATATATCATACTTATATTGCAATTACAATTTGGTTAATATTATAAGAAACTTCGTTGTTTACTTATACATTTTAATCATTAAATATAATCCATTTATACCAAGCTATTTTATGTTGAACAAAAAAGCAAAGATTCGTGATTGGCGCAGAATATATCAACTGCACAGGTTGCGATTGCTTCTGAGCAACTGAAGACAGAGTTCAGGAAGCTTTGCCTGTGTATTTTTTAAGTCAAGGTGGCCCCCTTGAGGACATCACTAGTTAAACAGGCGAGGCTGTGAAGGGAAACAGATTGTTTTTGTTCTCTATTGTTCCCAAGCTCAGGAATGGATT